CCAGTCACAATGGTTAACACAAACAAAGTGATGTTACTCCAAAACTGGGTTTCTTTATCTCAGGTAAATGATAACCTGGGCTTAAGCACAGTCTGATGTTTGCCATTTCTGTGTTTATCTGAGCGTTGTCATGTCATGACAAGTCATGTTAAGGGAACACTTCACTTTTTTGGAAACAGACTGATTTTAAAACTCTCCTAGAGTTAAACAATTGAGTTTTACCATTTTTTAATCCATTCAGCTGATCTACTGGGCTGGCGGGAGCACTTTTAGCTTAGCTTAGCATAAATCATTGAATCGGATTAGACCGTTAGCATCTTGCTCAACAATGACCAAAAAATTTAGATGATATCCCATTTAAAACTTCATTCTTCTGTAGTATCACTGTGTAAAATATGTGGAAAGTTAAGATGAAAGGTTCTAGGCTAATATGGTGGGAACTATACTCTCATTTTGACATAATAATCAAAGGATTTTGCTGCCATACCATGACTAGCAGGCATAATGATATTATGCAGCACAGTTACCTAGCTGTGGACTATTTTCAAGCATTATATTCAATACTAATGAACTAATCTAATTCTATCATTTATGCGAAGCTAAAGTAAGCTAAAAGTGCTCTTTAATAGTTTTAAAATGAAAATGTTAATTTTATGATCATAATATTACTAATGAAACTTTAAAGTTTGTTGTAATATTATTCTTATCCAGTGCTATTTAAAACATTTTTATTTAGTTAAAGTACAAATAAAGCCATATGACTTAGCTCACATTGCTAGTTTTGTGGTGAACAATTCATCTCTGCATGTCATTTAAGAAAAAAACAATGTTTGGCCTTCTAATCTCTAATTGAAATCTGAAAATGTGTAGCAGTTTTGCTCTGGTTGTGTGTCTTTGTTTTTTTATTCAGTAAAATTGTCAGATTACCTATGTTTTAAGAATTGGGCGTGGCTAACATTTAACCACACCCCTTTAACTGTCAGCTTTGACAACAAACAGAAATGGTGAAAAGGAGGAGTCTATTAAGTTGTACCAACTCTTCTAAAACCCATTTCCCCATCTTTCTGAATGCTACATCCATTCAGCTAGCAGAAGAAAAAACAAGCTAAGCCTACTGTTTTCTCATTTAATATTTCACAATAGGAAAAAAAAAAGTTTCTGGTTGATGTGGACGTAAAATAAAAAAGTTAAGTGAAAGTATTTTAAGTCATGCATAGCTCATAGCACTGAGAAGTTTCCTAAAAGACAAACTGTGTTCTACATTTATTATTGAAACAAAATAAACAAGAATAACCGGCACACCACCTCATGGGATTATGTGCATTTATAACAATCATCATATGAGCTAATAACAAGTCATTAAAATAAATATAATAATTATAGAACCGAATGTATCTGCAAGTATATGCACTTAAAAACGTTATAAATATAATATATACCTAGTCTGTAAAGTCCATCAAGTCACAGTTTATGTCCTGTTAATAGATTTCAACAGCATATCTGTTTCTGAATAAGATTATCTATGATGACACTTTTTTTTTTTACTTTTTGCATAATTTGACAAAATTATAGCATAACTTGAAATTTAATAACATAATTTGCTATATTTATCTTAATTTTGTTGTCTCAAATTAGTGTCAGCTATTTTAATAGGTCCTCCCAGTGCTTGGTAGAATTGCTGATCATGATGGAAAGACACCACAAGTGTGAGTTTAGATATGCTCCCACATTTTATAGTGGGTTCTCATATTTTGAAGCTCATTATGCAGTACTGATAGTCTAGCTTTGCTATGATTGTACTGCCATCTACTGGGTGAGATTGAAAATAGTGAAACTTATTTTTTCTTTTTTCATACAGGAAGGGTTAATAGTGAATCAACCAATGTTTCAGAAGCAGGTTACATTTAACAAGTAAGTAAAGAGAATCAAGTCATATATTTAGTCATTAAAATATTACTCCGAATGTCTAGATATACATGTCAATATATAATTAACCTCCTGAATTTCTAGATGTTCATAATCTGACACAAACACTAATTTCTAGTTTTGTTTGCCACATTATATTTTTTAAGATGGTGTATGCACATTATTAACAGAAGTATATCTTATACATCACAGCATATGTGCCGTAATAATGTACTACTAAGCTTGTTATCCAACTAAAATCAAGTTCAAAATCAAAACAAAACAGAAGTAGTGAATTTAGAGAGGAAAATTGTAGAAACTTAAACCATCTTGTTTTTTGAAGAAAATGATTCTGTTGATCAAGGCGGCATTTATTAAATGTAAAAAATGTTAAATACTTATTTATTAAATATTTAATTATTACTTAATGTATTTAATTTCAAATAAAATTGTTAGTCCAGTCGTTATAGCTAATACTACTGCTACTGATAATAATTAATATTAGAGTGATTTCTGAATGATCGTGTGGCTCTGATGACTGGAGAAATAAAGCTGAAAATTCATTTTGAAATTCACTGGAATAAATGATTAAATTAAATGATAAACTACCTTTGAACAGTTGTTTTATAGTGCAATAACATTTCATTTCATAACATTTTAAGTATTTTTTATAAAAAACAAATTTAGCCTTGGTGAGCAGGAGAAGCTTATTTTAATACATTTAAAAATCAAACTGACCCCAAACCTTTGATCGGTAGTCTATATTGAATACTTTACTATGCTTAAAATTAGTTTATTATTATTATTATCATCATTATTAATGTATAGTCCTTGAAACTGTGACACACAAGTGCTAACATCCAAATGATACCGGACAGACTTGGATGAATTAATTCAGGGAGTACATGACTGTTTTAATAATAAAACAAGACCATTTTCTATAATTTTCCCTCTAAATATAAATAACAACCTAATCAAAACACAAGTAAACAGAATGAATCGCTCTGCTGTCAGTATTACTCAAAAAGCAGCTTACATTTGACAGGTTGTGGATTCTGCTGTTTTCTTCTTGGCATCTTCCAGACAGCCTTTTATATGTGCAACCTCCTCTGGATTCCCTCGCGAAACAATCAACTCATTCTCCAAAGTAGCCTTTATAAGCGTTAAAATAACACATTACTGACACAAACATAAACGCAGCCCATATAACCTTTACAAACACACGCAGCACGTACAGGCTAACATGCTAATCTCAGACTGTTGTTTAAAATAAATAAAACTGGCGTCATTTACAGCGAATAAAGGGGATTTTAAACTCAGTGCGACTGAAAAAAGCTCAGTTTTTGTGTTGCACACGTACTGAACTGCAGAACTCATTTCGCCCTACCTGCGTGTTTATTTAGTCGACATTTAACGCAAAAATCTAAACACTGAACTCCTGCTATATATTGTCAAGCTCAGCAGATGTCAGAAATATACCTGCTCTTTCTGCCCAACGCGTCAAATAACAGCAGCCGTCGAGGAGAAACCGCGGCGTCTGACGGAGCGCTACTGCTCACGGTCCGCCATTCCATAACACAGCCACCACAAAGAAAGGCAATTAATGCTCTTTTTTCACAACTTAATTGATTTCCAAATTGCCATTGTATACATTTTCTTCCGCAACGTTGCGTATATCCGTTTCCTCGACTACGCGTTTCCGGGTACGTTGCCGTCGTCGTCCTATTTTTAAAGTTCTCTTTTTATGGAAGGTTTCTGCGATAATGTGCCTAAAAATAAAGGTCTTATAGTAGACTTGTGAGATTTATATTATATTATATTATATTATATTATATTATATTATATTATATTATATTATATTATATTATATTATATAGCCAGTTTTCTTTCTAAAATATTCCAGTCGTAGTAAAACAATTAAAGTAAAACATATGTTAATATATTATATGTAGACTTTAGAGTTTATAATTTTTTAGTTGTTAATGTGTTATAGCAATACTGAATTAATAATTATATATTTATTATATAAATAATGATATAATAATAATATAAGTTCATTCTGTTTTCGTACGTTTTCTTTGGGTTGTTGCTTATATTTAGAGGAAAAATCGTAGAAAAATTGTCTTGTTTTATTATTAAATATTATTATTATTATTATTAGTAGTAGTAGTAGTAGTAGTAGTAGTATAGTTCTCTTTTTAGTACCAAAAAATAAAAACAAACCTTTTGTTAGATTTGTGAATATTATATTATATTATATTATATTATATTATATTATATTATATTATATTATATTATATTATATTATATTATATAGCTTGTTTTCTTTCTAAAATATTCCAGTCGTATTAAAACAATATGCTAATATATCATATGTAGACCTTAATTTTATTTTATTTTTTTATCTGTCGTTAATTACTGCAAAGTAATATAATAGTAATAATAATACACATATGTTATGTATTACAGCAATACTTATTACAGTATTACATTATAATTACAGTTGTAAAAATATTTTTTAGGTAATTATTCTCAAATTACAGTTATACTGTTTACTTGCACATGTACATTGCATATATTACATTATGTACGATATTGCATCATGTAATAATATACGATTGTTTAAAAACAGTAATGTTGGTTCTCAAAATCTTATTAATAAATAGATATATCTGCTGAATCACTGAACAGACACAACAATATATATATATATATATATATATATATATATATATATATATATATATATATATATATATATTTAAGCACTAAGCATAGCCATAAAAACATTTGCCATTGATCTGCAAACTACTGATCACATATCTCCCCAATTAAAAATAAATAAAAATTTTGTAATTTAAATAATTTATTTGATAAAACAAAAATGTGCAATTTTTTCATTCATGAAAACACCAGTATTGTTACCTTGCGGGGTTATACGTATTAAATAAAGTTTATTGTGTTTAATAGTTCGCTTATATATGTAATAATTCTTCAAAATTCTTCAAAACGAAGTTACATTTTACAGGTCTTGCAGTAGTCGTGTTCAGAGGCAGAGACCGCTGTCAGCTCCGGTTTCATTAGCAGATGGCCTGATGTTACTGAATGAACTAGTGTGACTGCACGTCATCCATCGATTCAGTTCGCCGCAGTAGAAGGGGCTCGGCTCTCCCGGCACAACCTCTCAAACAGCGGTGCGCAAAGGAGGAAACCTCGGGGTTCTGGGGGGATCCTCGCCAACGTCATGCGGCGATTCTCGGACCACCGGCTCCAGAACACCGCTCAAAGTCACGCATACAAACGACGTTTTACAGCAGTGGGCGGAGCCGCGGGAGACTGCGCGTCCTCAGCCGCTCGGTGGGCGGAGCCAAATGATGGAGCTGAGCTGATAACGCACTGAGCGGAGGTAAGAGCCTGATTTCATTTAATTATTCTGCGAAATGTTTTGGCCACAAGATGATTTTATATGCCTGTTTCTCAACACCACGCGCTGCATTGAAGCAAGAAAGTGTATTATTTAGCAGGAGTGAACGGTAACACATAATAACCTTGCCACTCCCTGCAGTGCTGTGATGCCCTGGTCAGACCTTCTGATTAATTATGACCAATTCTGTTCGTAGACCACGAATTTTGAAGTATTACATTTAAAGCGGCCTAATAGACATGTTATACAATATTCGAGAAGCTTTCCGTAGTGCATGTGTTTCTGTACGTGAGTGCATGTAATGTAAATATTTTACTGTATTATTAAAGTAACAGTTGGTGTAAGTGTCGTAACACCGATGCGCTCTTGGCCCAAATATGGAGGTGTGTCCTCAAATAACGTCCTGAACGGCATTGCCACGAAGCTTTCCTGGTGAGAGTAATTATTCAGTGTTTTAATGAGGTCCTTCCCTCTTCATAGGAGCCTGATTTAACTGTTAACACAGCGTTGCGTTGGTGTTTTGATATTTTTGGTTTGGCAAGTTGTTGCTTAACTTTGCTTAAAGGGATAGTTCACCCAAACACGAGAATTGCTCTTGTTTTACTCACCATCAGGACATCTGGGATTTAGGGGACTTTTTTCTTCTTCAGTAGAACAATAAAGTAGATTTGTAACTGAAACTGTGGCCATTTTGGAGTCTTAAAATGCAAGACAATGGCTAACAGCACTTTGAGAGCCAAACAAATGAAATAAATACAAGTAAAACTTAAAATTAAAGGGATAGTTCACCCCAAAATGTACATTTTGTAATTATTTACTCACCTTTAATTTATTCCAGATCTTTTTGAGTTTCTTTGTTCTGCTAAACACAAAAGAAGATATTTTGAAGAAAGCTAGAAACCTGTAACCACCGACTCCCAAAGGATTTGTTTTTCCTATTATGGAAGCTTTCAGTTTTCTTCAAAATCTCTTATTTTATGTTTAACAGAAAAAAGAGAAACTCTTAATGGTTTAAAACCACATAAGGGTGAGTAAGCAGTGAGTAAATGTTCATTTTTGGGGTAAACTATCCCTTTACTGACTCCTGGCCAGTGTGCGAATTATACATTGACAATCAGGGGGCAACTTTTTCTGTAATGTTACTGTAGTTTGTGTAATACAAGCTTCAGTCATTTACGTATTTTTTTATCTAAACTATTAATATAATGTATTTAAGTGTCAGGGTTTTGAGGGATATTTAGTGTCTACTCTTAGTCACCTACAATATCGTCTGATTACTTTTTTCAGAGGTTACTGTAGGTCAAACTATACAAACCGGGCATCTATTTTTACTGTATTTTAGACTATATGTTGATACCAACACCAATTTACCTAAAAGTGTCTTGTGAACACTTACAATGTCTATCGGTGCTCTAGATCTGCCAGTTTCAGACTGTTGAAGGATTTTTTCCTGCATTATGGATTTACAGTGGTATTAGCCATTAAAGGGGTGGTTAAATGCATATTTATATTATCTGCTATTTTAATCATTTACATTATTATTTAAATTATAAAACCATTTCTCACTATTAAAGGGCTGATCCCTCCATACATCTTGTTTTGACGTCCTTTAGGGGTGGTCAAGCCATAATCTGGGGGGTCATCCCCCCCTGTAATTCACACCCTGCTCCTGGCTATACATTGAGCTCTTATAAAAATAAATGTTCAAATGAACAATAAAACACACTCATCCTTCCTCTCTGTTTTAATAATAAAAAAAATTGTGAAAAAAATGTCATTTTGTAACTTAAAGCTTTGTCACCAGACTGTCATGTATGGATCATCAGTCTCATCAGTAGCTATATTTTTTAGCCTGAATCTGTTTGGTTTAAATCACATTTGTGAAATAAATCACAAATGACCATATTTCAGGTAAAAAAAAAAACTAAGATGAATAAACAACATCAATTTTTAATTTTTTGGATGAACTATCCCTTTAATGTGGTTAAACAAGAAAGTTGTTGAGTGCATGTCCAGGAATAGTCCAGGGAACCGAGAGAAAGAAAACAGTCCAAAGCCAATCCAAAGATCTCAGCCACAGGATTTCGCTTTATGGCCAGAGAAGCTACAAAACACATTTGAGCTTTGTCTCCTCATCGAGGCCCACTGGTACTGCAAATATGCATGATAGAAGTGTTATTTTACATGTATATAATAGGGTAGCATAGCATTATGAGTATTATTATAGTATAATCAGCCACATTGCCTGGCTATTAGAAGTCATTTTAAAGCAGAATGTCTAAATGCATGCTATAATAATTTTTAATGCATCATGATATGTATAAAAAAAGCCTTGGATGCCAGATATAACCCTTCCTTCACGCTTCATGCTCAGTCCATTGTGTTTTAAGACCCGGCCTGTCACTGTGTTGAATGGCCTTGATATTATAAGTCTGTCCTGTTCATTGGTTTCTGCTCTCTTGAATGATGGATCAGTCAAAAGCAAAACCCTCAAGTTAATTATGTAATGCTGCCAGAGGGGCTGATCTAGCTTTTTTCAGATCAGAATATTGATCTAGTAGTTCTTGATTTTCTTTTCTGACTATTGGTTTCGTTATGCATTGAACAGAATCACACTGTGCTTGAGATTGCTTTGAAAAGGGTTAAGTGCAAAAAAAGTTGTTATTTTTAAGACCCTATACCAGAAAAAGAATAGATTTTCTGCAATGATCATTCCACCGTGTATCTAATGGCTATATAAACTAAAGTAATATATAATCTAATTTAAAATAGGGCTGGGCAATTAATCAAAAATCGACATTCAGAACCTATAATCGATTTTTTTACTAGTAAATTTTTTTCCAATCGCTTTCCCTACCGCGTGGGGAGTCACGTGACACCGCTCTGTTTACACTTCTGCGTTGAGCACAGCATATGGTTTGGCGCAGCCTTCATGCGTTCGCATACCCCTCTCGCCATTACTGACACCGACGCTGACCTCTCAAAAATGTAACGACGCATAGAACAAGCTCTGTGATTGGTCGGCTTGCGAGTGTAGGTGGTGTGGAGAGGGAATTTTACAGTTTGTGCTGTAATTTTTAATTAAATAAATTACAAAACATTTAAAATCATACTGACCCCAAACTTTTAACCGGTATATGTATGTATGTATGTATGTATGTGTTTTATGTGTGTGTGTGTGTGTGTGTGTGTGTGTGTGTGTGTGTTATGTTGAAATATCATTAAGATATTTTTACATGTTCAGTTTGCATACATTTTAGTTGATTTTATTCATGTGTTCATTTTAGTCATTTTGTTATGTGCTTTTGTCATTTTTAGTAGTTTATTTTATTTCAATTTAGTTTTAATATTTTGGTTTTGATTTTAGTGATTTAAGTGTTTAAGTTAATTTCGTTTCAATTAAATATTATAGATATAAATCATGCGCATGAGTTGATATTATCTTGATTTGTGCTGACAAGAAACTAAGAATTATGATGACATTTTTCAAATGACTCACGATAATCATAATTTGATTTAACTGATCATATTTGAGAAAAAGCGAAAAGGGCATTTGCCAGGACTAAAATGAAATATAAATGAATTACTTAGTAATATCAGTGATAATATTTTGAAACTATGTCTGTTCCGTTTTAAATGCTTTTCTTGAGTGTTAACTAATGTGCTGTCTTCAGTGTGCATCAGTGTCCATCTTCATATCTGCCTCTCCACAAAAGAAATATAGCATTAAAAATTAAAGATAACCCCCCCATCTCCCATCCCCCACATCACATCCTCTGAACCCCTCCATAAGGCGAAAGACATGTGTCTGGCATCTCCTACTGCACTGACTGTTGATACGAGTGTAACAGCATGTGGTCGAGTTAGGAGATTCATTTCACATGATCGTATATCAAGATCTCTCATTCCTCGAGCTGCTTCACTCATAGCCTTTAATAAGCGTCTGACAGTGAAAGTGTGCAGGTATCACAGCATGTGGGTGGATACTGTATAATATGATGATATATACCATATGGACAAAATATTGGTCTATCATTTCATATTATGCTCTATAGTTTATTTCAAGGTGTCGCAAAATGCATTGTTTAAGCAGTAAGGCTTTTACATAATTTATACAAGTGTAATATTACAAAGCATTGTGTGGTTCCAGACAGAATTATGAATAACAGCATTTGCTATCTCGAAAGTATAATGTTTACATTTTGCATTTTATTTAGCAATTAATTTTATTTGTTGGAGCTGAAATCATTAGTTTTTTTACATAAATGTTTTATATTTATTTAATATTTATTTATTTATTTCTACATTCAGTTTTTAAAGATTTATTTTTGCCCTTGGATTGGACAGTATTTCAGACAGGAAGCAAAGTGGGAGAGAGAGAGGGGGGTAAGGATGGGAAATACCCTCGAGCCGGGATTCGAACTTGGGACGCCCTGAAGTGTTACTGCACCATGTGTCAGTGCACTAACCACTAGGCTACTGCGTCGATGTTCTAAATAATAAATAGTTCTTTAGCCCCCCTGTTTATTTTTTTTCTCAATTTCTGTTTAGCAGAGATTTTTTTCAACACATTTATAAACATAACAATTTTAATAACTTATTTCTAATAACTGATTTATTTTATCTTTGCCATGATGACAGTAAATAATATTTTACTAGACATTTTTCAAGACACTTCTATACAGCTTAAAGTGACATTTAAAGGCTTAACTAGGTTAATTAGGTTAACTAGGCAGGTTAGGGTAATTAGGCACGTTATTGTATAACAATGGTTTGTTTTGTAATATATAGCTTAAAGGGGCTAATAATTTTGACCTTAAAATGGGTAATAAAAATTAAAACTACTTTTATTCTAGCCGAAATAAAACAAATAAGAATTTCTCCCGAAGAAAATGTACTATTAATTGATTGTATTTACAGAAAAGTTCTATATCAGTATAAGGATATGAGATGACTTATGTTGCGATATGAGATTTTTGTCATAAGGCCCATGCCTAGTGGATACAGTTTACATGAAACACGTCTGGCTTGAAGTTGAGAGACAAGATTTAAGATGGTCTTTAACGTTAAAGGTTTTATAAAGTCTTCACTAGGTCAATGATATGAGGCTGTTTTTTATTTTATAAATTATTTTAATTGCAATTCTTGCATACATTGACTTGAATACACTTCTTTTATGATCCACTTGTTTTTAATTTCTGATTTAGGTTGTAAAATGTCAAGGGGTACGACACATCATGAGGGAATGAACCAATTTTTTAAATTTGTAATATATATTTACAAATTATGTAATATATAAATAATATATGTTGGAAATTACAAATAAATACATATATTTTTATTCAGAAAGACACAACGTTGATAAAAAAGCCAAGACAAAAAAGTAAAGACAAATTGTTGCAGAAAAGCAGAACTTATTTAACATCAGTAATGCTATACCTTTTCTCTGATCTACATATTTTTAATTTTTGCTGTAGTTCATGTTGTTCATGCATTAATTATAGTAGTAAATGTTTTTTTGAGCAGTAAATCAGCATATTACATTGATTTCTTTTTCTTAAACATTAAAAATTATTTGAACCATTAATAACTGTCGCCCCACTTTTTGTTCAACTTTAATGATTACCAATCTTCAACACTTTGGTGCACAGATTTAAGCTTGACCTCATTTTCAAGAAGACAAATTGTAGCTGAAGTGAAAAATGTCCAAAAAGGTAAATAAAACAAAATGTAAGTGATTTCATGTCTATGAAAATAATAAATATATAAGTTATTATAATACATAAAGTAAAAGTGCCTAAAAGTGAAAGAAATTCAAAGCTAAATATCTTAAATTATATTTCAAATTTAAAGTCGAGATCTCAATAAAATGAGCTTTCAGTAAGATTTGTTTGGCAGCAGTACCAAACATTACCACGAGATCACATTTCAGTTTCTCCAATGTTTTGAGGAAAATTACCTGTATTTTTTCATAGTTCTGACAATATTTGTAAAGTCAACATACAATTCTAAAGTAGTATGGGCAGTTTGGTGGTTTATGATTTGAACTTAGCTCTTAAAACATATAAAAATGGGGATTGCTGTAGCAAAGTAATGCTTTACAATTCTGATGTGTTTCCTTGTTTAAATTAATAAATAACTGTTGCTCGGTATCAAAAGTACTAAAACAGAGACATATTAATCTTTTAAATGATATATAGACCTATTTCAAATAGGTCCCATAAGGTGTAGGGTGACAGTAAATGTGTTTTAGTCTATTACTCACTGAATGTAACAAAAGAAAAACAACGAACAGTGATAAAATATGTATTCAGAAGTCTTAGACCTTTTCAACGATCTATAATTGGTCATGATTAGATTCAGATTTAATCACAAAAAAAGTGATGTAAACCTAAGCATCTGTGGCGGGACGGTGACAGTTAATGGGTTGTTTATGTTTATAATATTTAACACAGGACTGCAACAATATAACTGTGGTCAATCTAATTGAAAAATTATTCAAACTAAATATTTACCTCAAAAGACCTTTTTGAATATGCATCAACTTCACTTCACAATCCTCTGATGTTGTTTGTGCATGGCTTTGCCTTTTTCCAGGGATGAACATTTGTGGTGTGTTTGGAAAACTGAACTGAGAAGAAAACAATGATGACCTCGATCAGGCAACGCTGCTGTGGACGATTTTCCTTCCTCCTCACAATGGTCTCTTTGCCAGTGTTCAGACCATAAGCAACAAACAGAGACACGCAGACAAAAGGGGCTCGATCCGCTCATGCTGGTTTTGGCTGGACTGTCCAGCTCTGTACAATGAAGAGACCCAAGCAGCAGTCGCAGGCCCTCAGTTTCCTCAGCTTCTTCAGCCGAAAGCCTAAATCTGACCCTAGGATCGAGAAGCCCACCGGGACTCTGAACAAGGAGGAAGTGGCCATTACTCTCACGCCCAGTGAACATGAGCATGTGGAGCAAGTAAGATGGCATTTATTCTCTGTGCATCTGTAAACTGAACTTATGTTTCGGTTTAAAGCTCTGTAGGCTGTTGCTGCGCTGATTCATTTCACCTGGGACAAAATTGATCATCTCAATTAGGCATAGGCCGGTATAAGATTCTGGTGGTATGATAACCTTGGATAAAAATTTCACGGTTTGACGGTATTGTGATTACTGCCCTAAATTATGTTGAGTAAAAAACTAAAACTTAATTCCCTTTGAACTCAATATATTTTATTTTGAGAAATATTTATAATATTTTGGAGCAGTATACATGTCAGGCTAAATCAGGGGTCACCAATCTCGTTCCTGGAGGTCCGGTGCCCTGCAGGGTTTAGCTCCAACTGGCCTGGGGGTTTCAAGTATACCTAGTAAGACCTTGATTAGCTTGTTCAGGTGTGTTTGATTAGGGTTGAAGCTAAAATCTGCAGGACACATTTTTGGATATCTTTTCTGCTGCATTCTCAGAAATAAAGGTACGAGAGCTGTCACTGAGGTGGTACTTTTTCAAAAGGAACACATTAGCTCTTAAAGGGTCAATATTAGTTCCTCAAAAGTGTATATTAGTACTTAAAAAATTTCAAGAGGTACATATTTATACTTTTTAGGTACACTTGAGGTATTAACAAGGACCCTTTAATTATAAATGTGTACCTTTTGAAAAGGTACCACCCTAGTGACAGCTCTCGTACCCTTATTTTTGGCAGTGTGGAGATACTGTTGTCCTGAAAAACTAAAAACATAAATAAAAAATCCTACACATACCTTAGGAACGGTATAGCAGAAAATGTTGGTGGTTTTAAAACTTACTTTTCCAAACCACGGTATGCCTTGAAAACGATTACCGTCTCATGCCTAATCTCAATATTGATAGTCTAACTCACTTTTCTGACTTTTGAGCCAAAATAATTTTTCATGCAAAAATTGGAAATATAATAAATGATATAAGAAAAATAATTATTCATATGAGTAATGATTGATCAGTCATATATTAATTTGGAAACAGTCAGTGCACATAACTCAACGTTATTTTGAGTCAAATATTTAGAGTAAAGCCTAGTTCACACTACAGGATTTTAAGCCTGATTTGAGCCCGATTTGGAAGTTAACGAGCTCGCCGACAGATCGCGCTGTGATCGGGAAGAAAACTGCAGGTGCACGGCGCTCGCCAGTCTTTATGTGTAAACTACTGAATAACGCATCAACGAGGCTTGCTGATGCGTCGCTGACACCTTGCAGACGGAAATCCAATGAATGGACAGAACACAATGTGCTGTAAAAAAAAAAAAAAAAAGCATGTCAAATTGCAATAAAAAAATCAGCGAAAATGCTAGACTGCAAAAGGTAAACCGCGTTATGGCAAGGGACCACTAAATAAGCTTAGACACTGTAAAAACTTTTGGGTTCCACACAACCAATTAGTGTTGGGACAACATGAAGGAATTAAGTGAATTTACTGTTTTTTTTTTTTTTACTAATTTAAGTAGATTGAACATAAAACAATTAAGTTGTCCCCTCAGAACAACATAACACAGGCTCATTTTGAAAACGTAGCCCTATGTACATTTCTGGAGATTGTGAATTATGTAGTACGTATAGATGCAAACACTGAGAGGAGTTGACCATGATGGTCTTCGAATGTGGTGAGGAATGGTTTCAGAAAGCGCGTAAGACAAAAACAGAAGCCAGAAATTTAAGTAAACAAGTAAATAATAGGGTGAGGATGTGGTAAAATCTGAAAACATGGTAAAAATCAGGCGAGGGCTTTTTTTTCTGCATTGTTTTTCAAAACTGTCGGTTGTATTTAGGGAAGTTGGTGGGTGGGTCGGACAGTGCTTTAATGAGGTGGGTGGGTTGGTTTTTTTAGTCAGTCAGTAGACAGCGGCCTCTGGTGGATTTTCTGCCAGAAGAGCAGGCATGAATGGCACATGCGAGAGAAATCTAAGATCTCAAAAAGCGTGTGGATTCAGGAAAACAAACAACAGCAAAAAAATGTAGCTCCTGTGACGCACTTTGACACTCTCTAGAAATGTACATAGGGTGTACGTTTTCAGAATGAGCGTGGAAATTTTGTTGTTTAGCTCATCTTAAATAAGTAGTTAGAAAAAACAGCAAACATAATTTTTTGAGTGTAAATCCCAAACAAGTAACAGGAAAAGAAAACGTAAATATGAAAAAATATAACTATGTAAACACTTTAGGGAAATATCTTCTTTTTTTTCTCAAAAGATACTAAGTATAAACTTGTTATTGTCACACAACCAGCAATTGCTTTCCAGAGATCGCTGGTTCTCACACGAACACTTAGACCACACTTCCGCATTTCTCAGTACTACATTTTCATACATGCACTGCTCCCAGACACCTATGCTCATTCATCTAACTTGATTGCACTCACCAGCTGAACCCTGTCAGAGACTGATAACACACCATACATAAACCACTCATTCACCCTTCCAGTTTGCCGAGTCTTGTTCTTATTTTGTGACATTACAACCCATTTCCCATGTCTTGTTTCTCCGTGTTAGACCTTAGCCTTGTTTTCCTTGTTCTCCTGTTTAGCCGCCTGCCTTACGACCTTTTGTCTGTTTATCTGACTACGATTCTGGACTCTCTATATATTTCTGTTTGCACCTGTATGACCACTGCTTGCCTGACGCTGAATAAACCTGCATATTGGATCTTACCTCCTGTTGTCAGTGTCACACCCCGACGTTACAGTTATATTTCATCTATAAATTTTGAAAGTAAGTTATCACTTCTTGTTGAAAATATAAAGCAACTGAGAACGGTGGCTCAGTGGGTAGTACTGTTGCCTCACAGCAAGAAGGCCGCTGGTTCGAGTCCCAGCTGGACAGTTGGCATTTCTGTGTGGAATTAGCATGTTCTCCCAGTGTTCGTGTAGGATTTCTTTGGGTGCTCAGGTTTCCGCCACAGTCTAAAGACATGCATTGTAGGTGAATTAAATAAGCTAAATTGTCCGTAGTGTATCAGTGCGTGTGTGAATGCGAGAGTGTGTATGGGTGTTTCTCAGTAATGGAATGTGGCTGGAAGTGCATCCGCTGCGTAAAAAAATGCCTAAATAGTTGGCGGTTCGTTCAGCTGTGGTGAGCCCTGATAAATAAGGGACTAAACCTAAGGTAAATGAATGAATGACAGCACTGCCAGTTTACCATAAAGCGTCTTTTTTCAGCCTCACGCGTTCTGCATGTGAGTTGACCACGCCCACCTATTGACATTTCGCTGTAAACACGGAATAAAAAATAAGGGGGTGTGGCCAACTCACATGCAGTACGCGTAAGGCTGAGAAAGACGCTTTCATTTCCGGTAACGATATATACTGTACCATCATACTGCCCACCGTAGAAGTTACTACACCTAACAAGAAAATAAAACAATGTAAAAACAACAGTGAAAATATGCTAAATGCCCTAGTGCCTGATGGGAAGACCAGTATAAGAAATTTAGTAGACTTTATTTAATTTTATTGCTTTTATTTTTGTCAAATAATCAATTAATATTCATTCATTCATTTCCTTTTCGGCTTAGTCTCTTTATTCATCTGGTGCCACCACAGAGGAAGAACCGCCAACTTATCCAGCATGTCTTTTACACAGCGGATGCCCTTCCAGCCGCTACACATCCATTCACTCTCATTTACACACATTTTTTTACTTTTTTTTTTGAATTTTTTAGCTCACCCAACTCACCTGTACCACATGTCTTTGGACTTGTGGGGGGAACTGGAGCACCCAGAGGAAACCCATGCAAATGTGGGAAGAACATGCAAACTCCACACAGAAATGCCAACTGACCCAGCCAGAGCTCGAATCAGCGACCTTCTTGCTTAGAGGCGACAGCACTACCTGCGCCGCCCCATCTATGAATATATAACTAGTAATCCCAGGTTTAAGGTTTACTACATACTTGAATTAAGTGCTTACATAGAATTGACTTTTTATTCATTATTCTTGCCTGACATTATTTTATGTGTTTTGTTGGTTTGTTTGTTTTCTGTTGTGTGTATTTCACTACAGTGTCATGTTTAATAGACATGTAATAGACATCTAAACATAGAACGCTTGACTAAAACAAAGCTAAATTTGGGCTGTCAGTGAAAATCTAACAGAGATTTATCAATAGTTTAAAATTTGACTAGTTTATAGACAGATAAAGAGATTAGACAGACTTCACACATGTAGTCATTCATTCCTGTTTATTTGATGGCTATTTGTGGACTATTACATGTCTTTTAAACACACAACTGCTTGCTGTGTTGGGACTACAGACTATGGAAGAATGACTGTGTAAATAAAGACTCGGTTTGATTTAATCCCATATCACATTGACATTACAGTACTGAATAGCTCTTTCAGAATTATCTTGAACACTGTACAAGCTTTAATACATAACAGTCTTACGTAACTGCCTGATTTCTACAGCTTTCAGTTCAGAGGGGGAAAAAGGAAAGGATTTATCATTTATGGTGATGGTTACTGATTTTGACTGATATGAACAGCCTTTTCTTTAACACAAAATGAAACATTTTCAACTAGTTATTTTCATTTTTCTTAATCATGCAGTGAAAAAAATGTACCCACTGCCAAATTAACCACTTTAGTTGAGGCAACACCACATTCAAATCCACAATACTGTAAAAATATGTGAGATCTAGTAATTTCCTGTATTTTGTCTTTCAGGTTTTGTCGTTGTTGTTGTTGTTGTTGTTGTTGTTAAAACTTGCTTTTGAATTGCATTTTGGAACCTTGATCGACCTGTTTTGTCAAACTTCGTTGTTAAAGGGCCATGACACCCCCCACTTTCGGTTTAGGTCTACCTCAGAATTTTTTTTAAAAGATGCATCATAATGGGCGTGGAGCTCCGCAAGCAAAGGGCAGGAGTGGGTGTGGCCAGCAGGGGAGAAGAAGTGGAGCAAACAACTGTTGTCAGTTATCTCACAAAATGAGACAAACCGTGAGGAGACGCATGATTTTATAGTTTACAAAGTTAAAAATGCAAAGAAATAAACAGTAATTTAATGCCCGGCTACATTTGTTATTCCTAATTTCATGTACACAGAACCACAATTTAAATCATTATAAAGATAATCGTGTTCATATAAACACTATAAATGAGGACTTCTCCCTCAATTCCCGGGTCTGAATGCAGACTCAGTGCAGCAGGTCTCTTGCCCTGTCTATTTTAACCATTGGCCCTGTTGGTAATCTAGAGGATTTAGGCAAACAAAGAAGCACGGCGATGTGTCTAAATGTGAACGAACTCCTTATAAAAGACGACGTCCGCCATTCTCCAATTCTTGTACTGCTCTCCCGACAAAAATGCTTGCAGCACACACACAGCTTTGCTTTGTTGGCCCTGACAACATCGTGGGGAAAAACATGCAACAAACCCAGTGGATCATGGAAACAAACAAATACGACCCTTCATGAACAGCTAAATACTGTGTGCCGTGGTTCCGTGTCTCACAGCTTGGCACTGGTAGGTCTGTCTTGCCTTCGGAAAACACGTGCAGTCATGAATAATTAAGTTGCAGGCTCTTCTCATAGTATAAGAACACTCCGCTATGAATAATCATGTGAAACCGACGTGTCATCTTTGCACTTGCAGTTTTGCGCTACATCACCGATTTTGATCCCGCCCCAAAAATCATTTTAAACCCGGAAGCTGAAATTAGCTAAAAAAAGCTCAAAATTATCCAGTTTTTCCCACAATTAAAGCTAACAGGTGCTAACATTGTCTTAACCAGGGGTGTCCAAACTTTTTGGGCCGAGGGCCAGATGCAAAAAAACAAATGTTGTTGCGGGCCAAATTTTACATACATCACACAGACACGTGTATGTATATATATATATATATATATATATATATATATATATATATATATATATATATATATATATATATATATATATATATATATATAAATACAGTTGAAGTCAGAATTGTTAGCCCCCCTAAATTATTAGCCCCCGTTTATTTTTTCCCCAATTTCTGTTTAACGGAGAGAAGATTTTTTTCCACACATTTCTAAACATATTAGTTTTAGTAACTTATTTCTAATAACTGATTTATTTTATCTTTGCCATGATGACAGTAAATAATATTTGACTAGATATTTTTAAGACACTTCAATACAGCTTAAAGTGACATTTAAAGGCTTAACTAGGTTAATCAAGTTAACTAGTTAAGTTAAGGTATTTAGGCAAGTTATTTTATAACAATGGTTTGTTCTGAAGACTAAAAGGGCTAATAATTTTGACCTTAAAATGGTTCATAAAAAAATTAAAACCGCTTTTTATTCAAGCCGAAATAAAACAAAAGTCTTTCTCCAAAAGAAAAAATATTATCAGACATACGGTAAAAATGTCCTTGCTCTGTTAAACATCATTTGGGAAATATTTAAAAAAGAAGAAATAAATCAAAGAGGGGCTAATAATTCAGACTTCAACTGTGGATAGATAGATAGATAGATAGATAGATAGATAGATAGATAGATAGATAGATAGATAGATAGATAGATAGATAGATAGATAGATAGATAGATAGATAGATAGATAGATAGATAGATAGATAGATAGATAGATAGATAGATAGATAGATAGATAGATAGATAGATAGATAGATAGATAGATAGATAGATAGATAGATAGATAGATAGATAGATAGATAGATCGATCATAACAAGAACTGCTGCTTAATTGAATGCATGTAATAGCGACACCCGGTGGTTATTTATTGAATTATGTTCATTTTTGTATAGCGGCCCAGATTCTATTGATATTTATAAAAAGCCTCGCGGGCCGCCACAAAACTGATTGCGGGCCGCAGATGGCCCGCGGGCCGTAGTTTGGACACGCCTGGTCTTAACTGATGCTCAACACACACAAATCTGTTAAAATCTCAAAAAAAGTACTTGAGGGTTTCGTGAAACTTTAAGTAGATCAACAAAATTAATTTTATTGACATTTTTTAAAATTTGAAACAAAATATTGCCGAAGTTAATCATTTAAATTACAAAAAACATGTAAAGACCATGTACAGTAAAAGATCATGTCAAATAATGTAAAGAGCTTCCAGTTTGACTATTTTTTCTGTTTTACAGACTTATAACTATATTATAAATACATATTTCTAGTAAATTATTTTAAACTACTATAAATGCCAGTATAAATCTGTTAAACTGCAGAGCTAAATTGTCAACATCAAATCTGTCAAAGTTCCATAACATTAATTTATAAGAATACATAATCATTAAAGAAATAGTTTTTATAGGGTAGAAAATTAGATGCACAACTTCAGTTTCCCTTTTTGCCAACCATTTGGTCTACAATAGTCCACATTTACATTAATCAAAACCTTTTATAATAGTTACAAACAATACCTGTACTTGTCTGAGGGCAATTTTCATTATGTTTTTTGAGCCACTGAATGAATGAACATTTTAATTCATTTTCTTGTCGGCTTAGTCCCTTTATTAATCCGGGGTCGCCACAGCGGAATGAACCGCCAACTTATCTAGCAAGTTTTTACGCAGCGGATGCCCTTCCAGCCGCAACCCATCTCTGCATTGCAAAAAATTATTTTTTTATTTGATTTTTTTTTTGTCTTGTTTCTAGTCCAAATATCTAAAAATTCCTAAAATAAGAAGCATTTTCTAGACAAGCAAAACATATTGTCTTGTTTTGAGAAATAATATGCCAATATTAAGTGAGTTTTTCCTTAAAACAAGCAAAATAATCTGCCAACGGGGAAAGCAAATTAATCTTGTTTTTTCTTTTGACGTAAGATTATTTTGCTTACCCCATTGGCAGATTATTTTGCTTGTTTTAAGGAAAAACTCACTTAATATTGGCATATTATTTCTCAAAACAAGACAATATGTTTTGCTTGTCTAGAAAATGCTTCTTATTTTAGGAATTTTTAGATATTTGGACTAGAAACAAGACAAAAAAATCTAAGCAAGAAAAGCATTTTTTGCAGTGTGGGAAACATCCACACACACACACTCATACACTACGGACAATTAAGCCTACCCAATTCAACTATACCGCATGTCTTTGGACTGTGGGGGAAACCGGAGCACCCGGAGGAAACCCACGCGAAGGCAGGGAGAACATGCAAATTCCACACAGAAACGCCAACTGAGCCGAGGTTCGAACCAGCGACCTTCTTGCTGTGAGGCGACAGCACTAACTACTGCACCACTGCCTCGCCTAAAATGTTAACTTCTGTATTTTATTTTTCTTTGAGGGTCCTGATGCTGAGAAGCAGTATACCTTCATGAACTCATCTAGCTTATCTGAGAAAAGTTGTATCTTTCAGTGCTGTAATCATTGATTTTGTCTTTCCTCTCAGGCTCAGGGTGATGCAGGACTGGAGGTCTGCCGGTTTGGAGGAGATGGCGGGACCGGTGAAGGGAGTGTCGTGGGTGATGAGGAGGGAGCAGTGGAGTGCGGGAGTAGTGGCTCGATGGCTGTTCTGTCCTTGTCCTCCTCCAGTCAGGAGCAGCTGCTTGAGCACCTGGTGGAGTGCCCGCTCTGCCTCCTCAGTCAACCGCGCGCCCACTTCCCCCGCCTGTCCTCTTGCCAGCATCGTGCCTGCACAGACTGTTTGCGCCAGTACTTACGCATCGAGATCTCTGAGAGCCGCGTGGGCATCGCCTGTCCTCAGTGCCCTGAAGCTCTTGCTCTGCCCGATGTCCGCGCCATCCTGGATGATGGAGCTCTGCTGGAGCGATTCGAGGAGTTCCAGCTTCGCCGCTTTCTGGCTGCTGATCCAGACACCCGCTGGTGTCCTGCACCAGACTGCAGGTTAGACCAGAAACATGACTTTATAAAGCAGTGAGGTTAAATGTCATGTTGAATTTAATACAGATAAGGGGCAGACTTATTGGGATAGTTCACTCAAAGATGAAAGTTCTGTTGTCATTTTTCTCACCTTGGTTTTAACTCTTTTCCTGCTATGGATGTCAATAGTTTTAGGGTTTAAACTTCCTTCAAAATATCTTCTTTTGTATTCAACAGAAGAAAGAAACTCATAAAGGTTTTGGAACCACTTTAGGCAGAGTAAATTGTAAGTAAATTTTCATTTCTGAGTGAACTATCCCTTTAAGATGACCCTCAGCATTGTGTAGCAGAAAGGGGTAGTTCACCCAAAAAAGGAAATGTACTCTCTTTTACTCACCCTCACGTGGTTCTAAACCTTCTTGATCTTAAAGAATGTTGGAAACTGGTAGCCATTGACTTTTACACAGAGAAAACAAACTCCCTATGGAAGGTAAAGTAAATGCTACTTTTTTCAGCTGTCTTCAAAATATCATATTATTCAACAGTAGAAAGAAACACAAACAGGTTTTAAACAAGTGGAGAAGTAAATGATAACAGAATTTAAATGTTTTGGGTGAATTGTATTACTGTATTACTCTTATATTACTGAAACAGAAATAGAAAACCCATAAAATATTTACATTATTTAGAAAAAAGTATCTGTTGTAAATATTACTCAAAGTATGAGTAAAAAGACCTTTCAAAAGTACTCAAGAGTAGTGAGTATTACGCTGTAGCCTGAAAAGCTGATATGTTTACATGTAATTTGTGTATGTGTGTGTGTAAACGAAACATTCTGTAGTGCATCGAGTTATTGCCCAGCAGTCACACAACGTCAGAAGATGTTAATATTAGGTTAGATTTAAATTGTGAAGTCAGGTGACCAAAATTCAATGTCTAGCCAGCGTCTAAGGACAACACTATTTTGATGTCCAATAATGATGTCAAATGAGTTGATTTTAGCTTGTTAGAAAGTGACCAAAATCCAACGTCGAGCCAACAACATATTGACATCCAATACTGACATTTATTCATCCGGTATGGCAACCAAAATCCAACGTCTGATAGACATCATAGTGGTAACGTCCACATACTGTTAAGCTGTAACATCATTAGACAATGATATTTGGTTGGTTTTATGTTGGACATTGACGTTGGCCGGACGTTGAGTTCTGACTTCAACCTGATTTTCATTTCCAAACAAAATGCAACATCACCAACGCCGTTAGGGTACAACGTCAATCTGACGTCATGTTGACATCTTGTGCCTGCTGGCTGTTTAAGGCCATTTTGGTCATCATACAGTAAATATCCGTCATCTTCTCATCAGTGACATGCATTTTAACAGTTTCTGGGTCAATGTGTGGGAACATTTTGAACATCTTCTTGGACACTTTTAATGCTTCCAAACAGTTTGCTGCAATTATAAATTGCCCTTGCCTTGTCTCACTATGATGCAATATACATTCTATTTGCCATTTGATTGGACAGGAATAACAGGACTGATTTTTCTAATTCCCATAGACAAGGTCAAACATAGTGACTGCAGGCTGAAGGAAAATAGTGGAATAAAAGTTCCAATACTGCACTGAAAATGTACTTAAGGGAAAGTAAAAGTACACATTTTTAAAACTACTTTGTAAATTACAAATCCTGAGAAAAACTACTCAACTACAGTCATTTGAGTATTTGTCATTTGTTACTTTACACCACTGATTATGTCAAATGGTTGTACACTGCTGATAAAAGAACCCTGATTACTCTCATACAAAACTGCTACATTGTGCAGCTTTTAGATGTAATTTTCAGTTAAAGGGCAACAAGAGAAGTGCTGTAAAGCATAATCCAGTGTTTTAATGAATATGTATTGAATATTTCTTGTAAAGTTTGCTTTAGCAAGCAGCTTCAAACTCCAGAAACAAATTCAAAATGAACTTTTTTTTGGCATGATATTGTTCATAATCACAATTTAGCTTGAATCACATCAAAGCCTTTACGGTGTTTAAAATACCACACACTGTGTAAAGGTACTGTAAATATTGTAAGTTTTCACAACTTTCAAAACTTTTTTGTGACAATTTTCAGGAAGAAATCTTCATTAGGTGTATGTTTGTTAACAATAGTACCGTTCATTGAACTGTTCTTTTCATTTTCATTCCTGTCAATTAAATATCGCTTACCGTAGTCTTTAACGGAGGAATATTGTTTCAAAATTTGATTTACCCCTGCTCTTGAAAAAATATATATTACTGTACAAAAGCATCTTAAGTTGATCCATGTGTCAAATATGTGGTATATAAAATATATCAATTTAAATTTGTATCTAATTGAATACTTGAATTATTGTACTCTTCAATAATATAAACCGAAACTGCTTCAAGTGAAATGAATAGTAATGTATAAAAAATGTGTATTTATTTTAGATTTATAGATTTTCAAAAATTATGGTGTCAGTTTTTGTAAGTAAGTAAAGGTTTATTTATATAGCACTTTTCACAGACATTAAGTCATAAAGTGCAGAAAAGAAAGCCAGAAAAAAAACAGATAAAAGAAAACAAATCAATTAAAGAAAACATATTAAAACAAGTAAAAAAATCCAAGAACACAAACTCCAATGTAAAACCAGCTCACCATGCTGTTAATTAAAAGCTTGACAAAAACGATGGGTCTTTAAATGTGTGTATCAATATCTAAAATGACTGCTAAGGCTGATTTATAGTTAGTGTGCACGCATTGCCCTCGCCGGCAATCGCAGATAATTTTTTAATTTTTAAAATTTTTTTCCTTTTTTTATTTATTTTTTCATTATGCGAAAAATGAGAACATACAATCACAGTACAATATAAAGAAAATGGAAAGATAAAAAGAAAACACTTTTGGAAAAAGAAACACAACAAGTGGCCGTCGCAGATGCGCACCTCTCAAAAATGTATCTGCACGTCACAACAACGCATATCGCAAACTAGAGTGGATGAGTGTGGGCGGGACCAAGAGCCGCGGGAGCAAGTGTTTACAAGTGTTGAGTCCCGTGAAGGAGCACCAGATGGAAAGTTTTGTTTACCTTATGATTAAAGTTGTTGCACGTCCCCCGCTTCCCGCCTCAAAATGAACGTGTTTGAGCTGTTTCTACATTAGGGTAGCGTTCAGAAAAAAACAAAACACCCGCGAAGAAACTCAACACAAGGGAACATAAAAACCTACTGCCATTAGTGTTTCAGAAGTGTTATTGCAGAGCAACAAAAACAGCTTGCAACATGCAAGACATGCGCCGTGGGTCACGCCGATCACTCGACGCAGAAGTATAAACCAGGCAAAGTTAGTCTAAAAGTAAAAACACAGAAAATTTACTTAAACAGCTATGTAAACTAAATATAATAACAACCAATACATAACAATCTAGAGCTTCATTAACGGTGTTGATGCTGATGCTACTGATGCTGTATATTGTGCTTTCCCATTTTTTACAGTATGTTGCTACTCTGTTAAAAAATAAATAAAAAAAAGCAGGGGCGCCAGAAAATTATCATAAAAAACTTGGAAAGAAAAACTGTCAGTATAAAAAATTTAGATACTCTGTAAAAAAAAACAACGACAAAAAAAACAGTAATTTCTTGTTCCATAATTACAAGTTATTACTGTCATTTTACAGATTTTAACTGTAGTTGTACAGGTTATTACTGCCATTTTACCTTTTATTACTGCAATTACACAGATCCGCAGCCGATAGATCACTGGTGATTGCCACAGTTCGCATAGCATTGTTAGAGTAGTAAAATAAACATTTCACAGTTTACAGTGCATGCATTATATGCAGCCTACAAACAATATAGCTACAAGCTATTATTTCACTGTATTAGCCTCATGTTAATCATCATGTTTACTATCTTCACTAAAAACAATTTGACTGACTTTTTTCCCCCTAATTTTACAGGAATAATCTGTAAATATGAACGTAAAATTACGTGTTACTCTCTAAAAATACACAAGATTTCCTGTAAATTAACTGTATAACTGTAAATTTCATGTTAGTTTTTTTATTACAACACATATCTGTAAAACTACAGCTATTTCACTGTCAAATGAAAAAAAAAACTGGAAAATTCTGTAAAAATACAGAGTTACCTGTAAAGTAATGTTTATTTTTTACAATGTAGTGGCTGTAAAACAGTTAGATTGCACTTTTAATAAAAGCTGATATTCATGAACCTCATAATGTCACTCAGTGGAATTGTTTGCAAGAAACAGAATTGCTTGTGAAAAGATTGATTATAAATTGTTCTTGCTCTTATGAGAGTTCTTGACTCTCATAAGCTTAATGAGGTCAGACACTTTTTCTTTTTTATTCTTTAAATTGTTGCTTGTTTATATATAGTTGAACTCTAAATAATTTGACTAAGATGATTTGATCATCATTCCAGCTGCACACAGCTCCAACCATGAATGTTAGCTTGATTTTCAGTGAGCGAGTAATGAGTAAAGTGTAAAAGGCATATCACCGTGTCCCACACACTGCCTGGTCAAGCATGTTCTCCTCTGTGGTGCATTATGTATAGCTCTGTAGGCTCGCGTTTTTGGTAATAGTAACCAGATCAGGGTAGTGATGGGAATCCAGGACTGCTTGTCGTTTCTTGTCAAGAGGACAGTATTATGTTTCACCTGCAGTCACTCCACACAGTGAGCCAGAAGCATTCTCTCTCTCTACTACAGTGATGATAGTATAGAAATGTCATATTATTTACATGTTCTTTTGATTACTTCTGTAGTCTTTGTTAGTCACTTTGGTTAAAAAAGCATCTGCCAAATATTTCAATCTAACTGGCTGAAATGTAATATAAATATACTTCTATGCATTAGCTATGCAGTGATCGCCTATGGCTGTGCAGAGTGTCCCAAGCTAAGTTGTGGTCGGGAAGGCTGTGAAACAGAGTTTTGCTACCACTGCCGCCAGCTGTGGCATCCAGACCAGACCTGTGACCAAGCCAGACGCCAACGTGCTCGCCACACGTCAGGAGCCAACGATGTTTCCACGCTCTACGTCTTCAACGAGGAACCTGGTGGTATGGCACCTTTACTGATCGACTGGCATTACATCTGTTTGCTATCCCCGCGGCTAAGATCTTTGCTCTGCTGTTTCTCCTGAAGATGCAGAGGAGATCAAGCCCTGTCCGCGATGTGGAGCCTACATCATGAAGACCAATGACGGCAGCTGCAATAGGATGAACTGCACAGTGTGCGCTTGTCAGTTCTGTTGGCTATGCATGCAGGAGATCACTGATGTGCATTATCTGAGGTACACACACACACACACACACAATACACTCAGTCATCAGGTTGCAAGTAAAGTAGTCTGGTATAGATACATCTATGTGAGTAAGATCTGGTTTGCAATGTAGATTTTTTTGTATTGACTGCTTATACTGGATGAGAATAGGAATGATATTATCTAAAGTTTAGTAGCATTCAGAATTTGCTTTAAGAATTTAAGAGTTCTTTTAGTCAGCATGGGCGCGTTGCGTAAATTGAGAGGATATTGAAGACATTTGTAATGTTACAAAAGTTGCAAATAAAAAATGTGTTTCAACTTTAATAATAATAAATATATCTTGAGCTGCAAATCAGCGCATTAGAATGACTTCTGAATGATTTCATGTTTCATGTGCAGTGTTGCCAGATATAGCTGACTTTTTCCAGCTCAAAGCCTGCCTAAACACACAAAAATATTAGATTAATCTTTTATTTAATTTTAATAGTGCTGTCAATTGATTTAAAAAAATTAACTAATTAATCACCCTTTTTTTATTAATTGCGATTAATCACATTTAAAAGACTGAAACTTGTAATGTTGGCTATTCAGATGTAAAATTAATGTAAACGCAAGACAAAAACTATTTAAATTCAAAATATAATTGTTTATTAGAATTTTTGTTTAATTTGTAACTCAGATTTATTCGTGTAAACAACATACCCACAATAAACTATCAAGATCCTGGCTTGACAGCCATATTTATTACAGAAGTAAAACCACAGGCATGCTAAAGCCATTTGAATTTCAAAACAATCAATGCCAATAAAGAAAACATTGATTTCCATGTTGGATTCTAAGTGGACTGCAAATAAATGCCAAAATACAGGCATTGCAAATATGGAAAATGAAAAATTATAATAATAATAAAGTATTGAATACAAACAATTGCACTCATTGAAAGGTTGTATTGCTGTGAGAACATTAATTACAAAGTAGAAACAATTTTGCTTAGACCTCCTTTAAATTCAGCCAGTTGCTAAAACAGTCCAGTCTGTTGACAATATTAGGGGACCATGTGGACCTTTTCTTTTGAATGATTTGAGCTGAGAGTGCAACGCAATCTCACGGCAATTCGTAACTTAATGATTTAGTGGCTACGGCCACGAGTTTGTTGCTAAAAAACATGCATGATCGCATTCTTCAGATTTGCTTAACCTAAACATTCTAAAGTATGGCTGTATTTCACAAGGATTCTGACACAACAAAGCGAAGCATATGCTTTACAAAAGTTGTGTTTAAGGGGGAAACACATCAAACTTAATGAAACATTGGAGTGCGCATGCTGAAAGGCAGAGGAATGCGCTGTCTTTGACAGCTTGTGACTTCATCTGGCACTTTCTGAGTACATTTACATGGACACCAATACTCAGATTTTAATATGATTAAGATAATGTTCTTATTAAGACTCTACCATGTAACCAGCAATTTTTGATTACCTTAAAGGACCACCGAGTCATGAAATGCTGAGGTTTTTTTTCCGTTCGTCATGAGGTATCAAATTCTATTAAAACAGAAGTCAAAAGTTAAAAATGAAACACCCGAAATTGCATGAAACTCTGGAGGAAACGCTGTATAGCCTGGTGATACGACATTAATTGTTTTTTACTGAAACTTGCCTTCAAAAAGTGCTTCCTTGGTCTTATCCATATTTCTTTGCATGTTGAACACACATCGGCCACAACAGGAAAAAGATAGAAACTGCAACTGCGGTAATTGCATAATTTTTTTTTAACGCGTTAAATATTTTAAATTAATCGCATGCGTTAATGCATAAATTTTAACCATACAGCAACCAACACCAGCAGTCACAGAACCACAACATAACCGGATCACATCGAAACACTGCCCTCTCTCACCCACACTCTGCACTTATTGTTCTGTAGATTACACTCCCTATTAGAGCATTTATTACTTTCCAAATTGTGTATAAATTTGTGCCATTTGGCGTTTTAAATGGTTTAGAATATAATTAGGTGCCGCTTGTCAATCAGACAATACTTTTATGTTTGTTCTTGCTGTCAATTGTGGAAAAAATTATCGATAAAAGTGTCATGATAAACGGCTATGAGTTTAACTGCAAGCGCTGTGTGATGCATGCATGCGAAGGGGAGTCAGATCTGAGCGGGGAGTCAGATTTTGATACAACTTTCATTCACCTCGTCTTGGGGGTGGAAGAAGGAGCACACAGTTGTGTTTTGTTAAAGTTGCATATTAGGGATGTAACGGTATCAGAATTTCACGGTACGGTAATACCTCGGTATGAATGTCACGGTACGGTATTTATTGAATCATTTACAGGAAAAAACAAAACTTATGAAAATACTCCAAAAAAGTGCCAAAAGTGTCAATGACATACAAATTAGTCATCTATCTGTAAGCTTTGAAACAGGAACTTCAATTTTAATAACAAAAAAATATTAAACCATGTAAAAAAATAAAGTTTTTAATTTAGTATTGTTGAAAACTCATCTCATTCAACATTTAATCACTCACTCACTTAGATAGAGATGGGTTTAAAGGAAAATTATCATATAAATATAATCTGGTAAAAGCTGGTATCTCTGGGTATTTACAATGTCCCCTGCAACAGAAAAAAACCCTCTCATTTGGGACTGAGGTTTCTGGGACAAGAGAGATATGACTTGGCCCAGGTTGACAGCAGTGGGTATTGTGCATTGAGTGAGATAGAGATCTCATGTCTGCATCAATCTGAACAGTGTGCTGTGTTTCTGCAGTCCCCATGATATTAGTCGTATTCCCCAACTTGCAGGCACGTGCACACACAGTGCTCAACCTGTGCAGTCCACATGCCCTTTTTAGTCTTGGATAGAAAGTTCCCTTCCAAAATGATCAAAAGTGCCCCCGCGACGCGACATACCCTCCGTCCCTGCTTTACAGTACGCGCGCGACAACACAGCTGATAAGAACTCGCGCGACAACACGGCTATTCAGTACGCGCGCGACAACACAGCTGATAAGAACTCGCGTGACAACACGGCTATTCAGTACGCGCGCGACAACACAGCTGATAAGAACTCGCGCGACAACACGGCTATTCAGTACGCGCGCGACAACACAGCTGATAAGAACTCACGCGACAACACGGCTATTCAGTACGCGCGCGACAACCAGCTGATAAGAACTCGCGCGACAACACCACTATTCAGTACGCGCGCGGCGACAACACCCGCTTTAGGGTTTTCCAGCTCTTTTTGATCCCCGCTTTTAGCAGCACACTCCATTTCCGCATTACTGGATCTGTAGCGACAACAGACCGCAAGGGATTATGGCCAAGCCTGGGCTGATGGGAATTGTAGTTTCCGGTACCTCCCGTTCGCTTCATTCGCCTGAGCAAATTTTCTCAGAAGACCTATAGTTTTACCGAGTCATGCGACTACGGTAATATCGAAAAAAAATAATATTGCGGTATGACGGTATTAACAAAACCGTTACATCCCTATTGCATATAAAACTTTTGTTTCAAAACCACCCAAAATGTGTCAACAAGCCAATGCCATTTATACATGCACATTCAAATTCAAAACCCTCAAAATTCCGGCAGCACTATTCATGTGACACTATTGAGGTTTAAAATTAAGCATTGAATCATAGGGGGAAGTTACTATTCAACGTATTTTTAAATATGTTTAATAGTTTTTTATTGTAATAATATTACATTTTTACATTATTTTATAGGAAATGCAGCCTTGGTGAGGGTAAAAGGAAAAACTTCTTACCAAACCAAACTGATATGCTGTCAGTTGACCAATCCAAACTATGTGATGTATGATAAAGTATTTTGATTATTTTAAAGTGTATTTTGTCATTTATATAAATACACAGTGCATAAGGAAAGTATTCATAGAGCTTCACATTTCTACATTTTTTGTCACACCCTAATTCCAAAATGAATTAAATAAATTGATTTCCTCAAAATTCTACACACAATACCGCATAATGATTATTGTTGCAAATTTATTAAAAATTAAAAACCTGAAAAATCACATGTACAGAAGTATTCACAGCAGTGAAGCTCTAAATTGGGCTCAGCTACATTCTGTTACCACTGATCATTCTTGAGATGTTTCAGCAGCTTAATTGGAGTTCACCTCTGGTAAATTCAGTTGATTGGACATGATTTGAAAAGGCATACACCTGTCTATAAGGTCCCAGGGATGACAGTGCTTGTCAAAGCCCAAACCAAGCATGAACACAAAGGATTAAGTTTAAGGTCTGTAGACCTCCGAGACAAAATTGTACAAGGCTCGGGAATGTTAAAGAAAATTTCTGCTGCTCTGAAAGTTCCAATGAGCACAGTGTCCTCAGAGGGAAAGATGAATGCTGCAAAGTGCAGAGACATCCTAAATGAAAACCTGCTTCTAAGTGCTCTTGACCTCAGACCGGGGTGATGGTTATTTTTTTCAGCAGGACAATGACCCAAAGTACACTGCCAAAATATAATTAAAGTGGCTTCATAACCACTTGGTGAATGTCCTTGAGCAGCCCAGCCAGAGCCCAGACCTAAATCCTATTGATCTGAAAATGGCTGTACACCATCACTTCCAATCCAACCTGATAGAGATTGAGAGGTACAGCGAAGAGGAATGGGCGAAAATTACCAAAGACAGGTGTGCCAAGCTTGTGGCATCATATTTTAAAAGACTTGAGGCTGTAATTGCTGCCAAAGATGCAAAGTCCTGAGCAAAGGCTGTGAATACTTCTGTGCATGTGATTTTTCAGGTTTTTAATTTTTTATAAATTTGCAACAATTTCAAAAAATCTTTTTTCACATTGTCATTATGGGGTATTGTGTGTAGAAGTTTGAGGAAATAAATGGATTCAATCTACTTTGGAATAAGGTTGTAGCATAAAACAATTTGGAAAAAGTGAAGCGCTAACAATACTTTCCGGATGCACTGTACTAGTGCATTAGCAAATATAAATAGTCATATATATATAATAATTTAAACAGTGGTGCAAAAAACACTGAAAATAAATATATTACACGTTTGTATAAATGTGAATATTCATGATTATTATTTTTGCATCTCCAAAAACAAGGTCACACTGTAAACAGCCTGTACAAAAAACAATAATTCCTCTATTTGAATTATAGTTTAAGCATTTGATTTGCTATTTAATTATTACAGGATTTTTCTTGTGAGTTTTCATAAAAATTACATATCAAATACATTTGATTTCTCATTTGAGAATGCATTTAGATTTATTATTTATTTATACAAGTTACATTATTTTAAATTATGTTGGCATTATTACAGTATATTTTGTTGTTGTTGTTGTTGTTGTTGTTGTTAATAATAATGACATTAATGTTAGTACTGTTGTTACTATTATTTTTGTTGTTGTTGTTAGAGTTAGAAATACTGCAACCTCTATTTTTTCAAGTGAGGAGGTCAGGTTTAAGTAAACGTGTTAAATGTGCAGGCATTTTTACAGACTTTTGCCAAACTAACAAAAAAAAAGTAATTTCAATTTTTTTAAGTTGAATTTTTACAGTGCAGATTACTTTATAGGCTTGACTGAAAATAAGGGAGAATAGAAAGTTTTAATTTTTGTTAATATCTAGTCTACCTGCTGATTTAGTTCACTTTAAACAAATACAATAGGCAAACACGGAAATGTTTTTCTCTGGCATTTTGGGAAAATTGTCACATAAAGACACCAACCTTTATATTCTGCATGTCAGGACAATGTCGCTTTGTAAAGAAACGCTACACTATGTGTCTGCACAAGTCCCTTCAGTCCATGATTGTTGTTTTTGCTATTAAATACTTTCACTTAATATCACTACTTTTACAAATCCACATTGTTGTTGTTGTCGTGTACACAGAGACAATAGTGGTGGTATTGATTTTTTTTTTTTTTGCACATTCAAACTATTTTAAAAGTTTTCATTTTAACCCCCCAGATTGTTATCACAGTCTACATTAATGGTCAAGATGCATATCAAGTTTTTGTTGTATCAGAAAATTGTTACTTTAATCACTTTGTGACTTTGAGGCTTGATGCTTATAACACTGAAAACCATTATAATTCTTCCTCACAAATCAACTCTCACTTTTTACATACTTAAAATTTGTGATGCCTGTAGAAGTCACGTTATCTATAAATATAGATTTGAAGGACTGCTTTTCTGCAAGTTTGTATACTAAATGGGGTCTGATGGTGTGCGCAAGAGAAACTCATACTGTTGTTAAATCTACCAGCATTTATTAATTCATTGAGTTACTGTAGGCTACAGTACGCTCTCTAATTAACATTCGCAGAATATTTATTCAGTATGCAGATCATTCTCAGCCAAATATAGGACATTTGCCTGCAAGCACATAGCCCACATTCATCACCAGCAGTCGCCAGAGTTTGTGATCTGTTATTAAGCTACTCTCCGACGCATTCGGTCCAAGCAAAACAGTGGTTATTCTGCAGCACAAGAATGTCAAATATGTTTTTCTGGCTCTCCAATAGTGAGTTTGTGCCAAGCTGCTTGTGTTGCAGACTTCATGAACGTTGCAGATTATCTGATTTGCTTAATTACTCTTAATCAACAGACGTCTTGCAGAAGCGGAGTGGTTTCAGAGGTCTGATCTGTAAAATAGTGACTTTGCTTGCAGGTTCAGTGAGCTATTGCTGCAGCAAAGCTGATTTCAGATAGATTTCTTTGTTCCTGGATGCCTGCCAACACAGACTTTTGTCAATTAATCAGTACAAATCTCCGCTCATATTTTCCAACCCCCATGATTTGCCAGAAGCAGGTTTCTTCATTTAATGAACAGCCCATTCTGCCGGGCTTCAGCCACGTGGAGGAAGATTTTTATGAAATGACAGCACACATATATAATTCTGTCACCATATATTCCAGACCTGTATGATTTGATCTTTTTGGTGAAATTAAAATCGCTTTTCTTTAATATGCTTTAAACACCATTAAGTTCAGTTGCATGGACAGACGGAAAGCAATAGACACTTTTCACAGTTATGCCGCGTTTAAGGGTCATTTTAAATCCTTGAAAGTTTTGAATAATATTTTGATAAAATAAAAATAAAAAACGCATGAACATTTATATGCATTTATGTGTGCATTATATCATCTTTGCGTCAAACTACAAAAAACGAATGACTGCTTATTCGAGGTGTTTCTAATTTAATGTCTATGGGGCAGGACAGTAAATTTGACGTTATTCTCTCCTCTGGCTGCCCTCATCAGTCTCACACAATTTTTTCCCTTTTTCTGAAAGTCATATTACCATTGTGAAGTTTTTCGTTTATTATTTGAGCAAAAAGATTGTAGAAAAATTATTTATTTTAGTCTCCCATTCACTGCGCTCCAAGTTTACCCAACTATGACGAGTTCCGCTACTGAGCAATCCAGATATGTGAAAAGGGTCTATAAAGAAAAGTATATGCTTGTCTCTTCAAGACAATATCCTCATTAAGAATACAATGAAAAACCTAAGAGGTATTGAGGTTTTGGTATTGTTTTTGAAGTCCAAAATGAGTCTAGATTTAATACACATTTGAACATTTGGTCCCACTTTATATTAAGTGGCCTTAACTAATATGTACTTAGACAGGAATTAATAGTTTGTTACAATGTACTCATTGTGTAAATACATGTATTTATTGTGTACTTATGCTTGATTAAATACCCTAATGTATTTACATCTGTAATTAACTTCTGTAATTACATTTGTAAATACACTGCTGACCATTCCCTACACCCTAACCCACCCTTAAACCTACCCATACTACCAAACCTGTCTATAACCCAACCCCTATCCCAACTCAAGAGCACCACAAGTGTTCTCAAATACATTATAAACACAGTAAGTACATTGTATTTATTTTTTGATCTAAGTACATAGTAGTTAAGGACAGTTAATATAAAGTGGGACCGAACATTTAAAGAAACAGAGCCTGTTTACACCAAGACCGGTACCAAGTTTGGCACATACCTTGCAGTGATTCAAACACTGTATTTGTTTACCTGAAAATTACCCATCCCAAAAATGATTTGGATGAATATACCATTACACCCCTGCTATAAATGTAACTGTACCAATAACTTTTTTGCATCCACAAAAATGTACAATATATTCAGAGCATTCGCTTCCATTTTGTCATCTTTAATTTCCCTCCATCGGCCCTTATCCATCATGGCCTCCCAATCATCCCCATTCACCGAATAGGCTGTATCACTTTCTCTCCACTACACCTATAGCTGGTGTGTGGTGAGCGCACTGTTTGGAGAGACCCCCTCATGATTGTGAAGCACTTTGGGTGTATGGCCAATAATGCGCTATATAAATACAGACATCACATTTAGTATTCTGATTGGTGTTTGTATTTTTATTTTATTTTATTTTTTTGCCCATCAGCTTTAAAGATTTAAAGTTGTGTGGATTATTCTTCTCTACTTGAGAATTATTTCTAGAACTGTATGCTAATATCATACTTGGTATGAATCATCCTTTATTCTAGTATTTATTTACACTAAACCCCTTTCATTCAACTAGTGTTTTTGGACAGAATTACCAGAAATACAATATTTAGTTGTTTTCACTCCAAAATCACTTCATAACTTCAGTCGAGTGATTGAAATAAATCCTTCTGTGAGGTGATTCTGTAGTTGTGTGTTTATTAGTCATAGTAAATCAACGCAGTTCTGCTGATAATGCAATACTATGGGAATTTCCTAGGTTTCTTCTTCATGTATGTTTAAAGTTTCTTCACTAAAGCGCCCTCTGGCCTTTGGAGTAGATTACTGCTGATGATCACTCAACTGTTTCACTGGCTACGAGACAGTCACAGATTTTCTCAATTGTGTTTCTACTTTCATTTTGATTAATAGCCCTGCTCTATAAGGATGTCATCGTACAGTGTACAACATTTAAATAAGTATTATATTCATACTTTTACTACAGTACCTGTGCAATGCACAAAACAGAACATAAAGTCACTTTGACCAAGGGGATTTGAGGTTCACCCAGGCAGTGCATGAGGCTAATCGAGGATGAGATCATAAAATATTGATCGACTGAGACTGTGCGCATGCGAGTGGCTTTTATTCAGTATTCCTTGTCTATAGCTTTCAGCTCATATTATATATGTGCCAGTTGTGTAACTGTATTAAATTAAACTAAAATGTTCACTTGTCCTCCATACAGTCCCTCAGGCTGCACTTTCTGGGGAAAGAAGCCGTGGTCTCAGACTCGCAAAGTTTTATGGCAAGTCGGCATGCTTCTTGGGGCACCGGTGGTGATCTCACTCATAGCGGGCATCGCCATACCAGTCATCATTGTGGGAATTCCAATTTATATGGGCCGCAAGGTAAAAAACCTATAGCATGTTGCATTATTTAAGTCAAAGCAGCAGCTATGTTTGTCCTCTCTCTGGTGAAACCGTTTAATAGCTTCAGGATGATAATAAGGCCGGGTCATGAACTTTACTGTATGCTCATCATAAGAAAAGTGCTTGCGAATGCATTTATGTAAATTTATGTAAATCCATCAGACCTGTACCCTTCACACACAAGGTAAATGTGATGTAGGAAATGTCTGCAAAGTGTGTTTCTCTCAGCTATGAGTATACGCAGGCCATCATGCTTTTTTTGTCTGGAGTAATTACATTAATCAGAAATTACATCAATCAGTCTTTTAATTACTTCCTTTGTAGGCAATGCTTCATTTTAAGTCTTTTGAAAGCTTCTTAAAGTCCCCTTTCAATTGAAATGGTCAGTTCTTATTTTTAATGAAGTAAAAAAAGATTTATCTATGCACTTTTTTCAGTAATTAGCAAATAATACTAATCCAATTGATCAAAATAAAACATTTATAAATGATGAATACATGTATTTACAATTTATAGATATGTGTTTCAGAAGAATTATTTTTTTCAAACCTTCTATCATTTAAAATTGTCATGCCAAGACAGTTGGTCAAAATAATAAAAAGTTAAATTAATCAAATTAGAATAATTTAAAGATTTCCAGACATGTTTCCTTTTATTTTTAGACAAAACAATACTAATGTTTTGACATAATTTTAATTAACAACAAATGAATTCAGTCATTTACTGGCAAAAAATCTAAATGATATTAAAGAGCCCCTATTTTGCTTTTTAAAAGGTCGTATTTTGGTTTTAGGGGTCTCCAACAACAGGCTGATGTGCATGCAATGTCAAAAAACACTTTCATTCGTTCAGCGATTCATTTGTTTCCAAACCCCTCTTTAGTGTGACGCTAATCTGCGCTGATTGGACAGATGACCCAGTCTGTTGTGATTGGTCGACTGCTTTCAGCACGAGACAGAGAGAAATGCCCACCACTGTTACAGTATGAAGTAGCAGAGAGTATGTGAGAGCCCAATGCAGGAATACAGTAAAGCAATGCAGTTAACCACCAGCATATTACTCTACTCTTAAACATAACCCCAAGTAATAACAACGTCGACACACATTTAGTATTGATCTACACAGTGGCATAAGTTGAACTATTTTGAAAACTAACCGCGCCGCATGTGTGAGGAACAGCTGATTATGGCCATAGCAAAGGCAAACGGCAGAAGATCGCGAGTTCACAAACGCATTTAAACGCTACAGGAAGAAGCACGCGTCACATTTTCAACATGATTTTGGACACAATATGTGAATTGTTCCATAAAGATTTAACCTGTGAGATAAAGGACAAGCACTGATCTATAATGAGTGATTACAATCCGCACGGTGAGATTATAATTTATCACATACAATTAAACACATATTTTGCAAACTACACAAAATGATGCAACAATTTTATTTACAGAAGAAACTGGTCCATTTGAACTATAACAGTTACTGACAAAGTCCTTGTCGAAGTCTGACAAAGTCCCATACATAATAGTCCTTCAATAGCAAACGGCCGGCGAATCCCGGGTAGCAGCGTAGGTTATTGTATCAACAATTCGAAAAATGACAGGAACAAACACAGCATAGGTTGGCTATACTGTGGTATTGTTGTGAAAATTAACTTTAACCCTTTATTCCCTGCAGCCGAATCTCCATTTGTCAGTGATTGTCATCTTCGAGTCATTACCAGTCCCTTGATCCCCCGCACTCCGCTAGTGTCTGAAGGGAAAGACGCGTTCACATTTTATCTGGAACTACATATCTGATGATGTACCGTATCGACGTTTATGCGTTTAAGCAAAAGGTCCGAACTCAACTTGATTAATTTATTCGACTATTTCGTTAAACAATCAACAGTTTTAAATCCGGTGCATTTTTGGATTTAAACCTCCGCTGGATGTTTTCATTCACTTAGAGCTGTGGCACACACTGCATGTAATATCATTGTCAAAACTCCATAATAGGGGCTCTTTAAATGTTATATAGACAAAAACAAATATCAACGTTTTACTCAAACATACACCTATATGATTCTGTACATCCAGAATGGTGTTTTAATTTCTTCCTACCTAAATATATGACACAATAAAAAAGAAAAAAATGATTATAATTTCAATTTAATTCTGACTTTATATATGTGTCTGTTTGGTTGCTTTTAGGTCCATGGTCGCTGTAAGAAAAACAATACCTCAGGAAGTAAGCATTATCTGACAGTGGCCAGCGGGGTCATGATGTCTGTTTTTGTGTCTCCAGTCATAGCAGCCATTACTGTGGGTAAGAAACTCATCTATCCATTTCTATGGTTGCATCTAAAATGATTGTGGTTTTAAAATGTTGTGGTTATGTAGCATGTACACTGCAGTGCTTATATACAGCATTTCCTTCACAAACTGTGCGTTGTGTAAATATATTTGAGAGGAGATTTTATACAATATACTAATAAAACTTTTAGGGTCATTAAGATTCTCTTTTACATAAATTATTGAATTTAATTGATAAAAGAAAGCCATTTATAATGCCAAGAAACATTTCAAATAAATACTGAACTTTCTATTCATCTAAGAATTGTGAAAAAAATACATCACAGCTTTCATTAATATCATAAGCAACACAACTGTTTGCAATACTGATAATAGTAAAAGGTTTCTTGAGCAGCAAATTGTCATAGAATGATTTTTAAAGGATCATGTGACACTGAAGTCATTTAACAATAAATTGCATTTTGAGATTAAATTAATTAATGTTATTTTAATACAGCTTTATTGTATTTTCATCAAATAAATGCAATTATGGTGAGCATAAGACTTCAAGACCACCAAATAATGTTATCACCCCCACACTTCTGAACATTAGTGTTAGTAAAGTGTGTGTTGTTGAGCACTTCAGCTGTTCTATTGTTAGGAAACATCAGTTCAAAAATGCTGACTTGAGTGTTATCCCTTTCTATTGATTTTTCTGGCTTGTGTTCAGACAAATGAAGATACTAAAGATGAGAGTCTGTTAAATGAGGGAAGCAGAAATGAAAACAAACACATTTGAAAGGATACATAGTTTACCCCTTTTTTAAGATTTAACATTAATATTATGGTTGTTCTGAGTGTGCCAGTTTAGGTTCAGTTCAAAACACAGTTTAGATTTTTTTACTATAATGTGTTAAAACTGTTATTTTTGGGGCGTATACACAGCTCGCTGTTTCAGGGGCGTGTTGCTTCACATGAAAATTAGTTTCGACTTCCCGCCCAACGTAACAAGGGGGCTCTGTGTTTGGCAATAGACAGGCAGACAGAGAGAAGCAACATGAGTGAGAGGACAAGCATTCAGCTGGACATGTACGACTCGGACACAGACCAAGCAAAGAGTACACAATCATTTGTGTCTTTGTATATTTTTAGAGCCAACTGTGTGCTAGTTTAAAGTTCTGAGCTTGTACACCGAGATTAATAACCACGCACACTGAATTAACTTTGACTGAGACACCAGATGCACCACTCAGATCCGCGACACGGCACACCAGACACGCACATTCGCATGTTATTTAAAATGAAACTATTCAGATGGCGCTTTGTGGCGTGGCAGAAATATGAAGTGTCCCGAATTGTGGCTGCGTGCCTTGGACAGCCGCCGACTTGAAGCGCCGTTGTGTGTACCCTGATAGAAACCTATGTTTAGAATTCTAAAATGCATGGCGCTGCGCGTCACAGAGCGTCGCTTCTGGTGTGCGACCTGCAGGCAAGTTTGTTATTTTGTTTCCAATAGAGGGACATGCAGATGAGGCAACGCGCTCGCACTTTCCGGCTACACATAATTAAGATCACAGGGAGCTTCTGTGACTGCGAGAATTGCAAACGGCTGAAGTTCTAGGTAGACTCAATGAAAAGTACACGTTTGCAAACCTACCTTCAAACAAACTAAGTTACAAACAATAATTCTGATTAGAGTCATCGTGGTGAATGCTGATCTTGTGTTGAGCCCAGTGAGCCTTGCATCTAAAAATTGAGCAAGGGTGTTCCTTAATGACATCGCTTTGACTCACAGGCTGAAAATGGCCGACGTGAAACAACAAACTGAGGATATGGTGATGCGCGCCTTTCAATCAATATTGGTGGGCGGGGGGACTGCACTCCTACTCCAAGTTGCGGTCGGTCTAAAAAACGCTCCAATTGGTCCACCGTTATTATGTTGTTAAATTGAAAAAAAAAAGGAATGGGTGTGTTTATATCACCCTAATATGACGGTCTATAAACTATATTTACACATGTCTGTCCAAACAGCTTGAAAAGTTCCAATGCCCTTTAAGGGATTGTTCATCTAGAATTCATTCTAATGTTCTTATCATTCCTCTAACACTGTAAAAATATATTTTAAATAACAGTTTTCTTTTGCTTGTGAATTACTAATATTTTTTGTACATTTATGCTGGTGAATTGCATTCTGTTACTTGTTTTTTGCTTCGACGCCTCTTAATGTTGCAAATTTACCACAGGAATTTCGATTGACAATGTCTGTAGTTTAAAATCATCATTTACATGAAAAAACAAGGCAATGCGTAAGCTCAAACTGATTAAAAACTCAAATGCCATTTTTTAAGAGGTTGTGAACTGCTTGTTTAAAAGTTTTGTAATGTTCTGTGGAATCCATGTAAAAGCGTTATCATTATCAAAAGTTTTACTTTAAAACCCATCATAATTTGAAATTAGTAGACTATTTTCTATCCAGTTTTAAACCTCTCTCAACACACCATTTGAATTGTTGTGGTTGATTGTAGAATCTGAAGCAAACCCCCCATTGTAAACCCCGATTGACTAACAGATTTGCATATTTAAATATATACATATAAAATACTTTGTTCCAAGATTAGGATGCAAAATTTGAAAAAACAGCTGTGCACCTACTTATGTAAGCTTCTAAAACAGGTTCAATGGAAATAAGTGCTTCAGCTTGCATTTTTTAGAAACCCCAAAAACTCACTTCAACATGCATTTGACGGCTGTTTCCAGGTAAAATGATGAGGGTTGATAGCAGTATGACAGCTATTTGTTCCTTTTCACACTAATGATATTAACAGGGACATATTTTTAATAATTGAAGGATTTTTATGCAGTACTTTGCACACCACTTAAATCTCCGAAAATAACTTAACATGGTGTGTTTTCGATTTGTAATGAAATACACTTGCCTTACATGTGTATCTTTATATGGACAACTTTTCTGGCATGGTAAGTTTGCTCGGTAGCTGAGTTTGCATGGTTTTGTATTTGTGATCCAGAGTGCTCAGGTTTAAGTTTGGTGAATCACAGTACTACAAAAGAGATAAAAGTAATGTAGAATTAAAATAAACTATCTGGTTTAATTTTTCACTTTATTCACTTTTTTAATTGTTCACTTTTCTCTTATGTTTGCTTTTGAAAACAAAATTGATTGGGTTTAGGGAAGAGTTTTGGTAGGTAGTTCAATGGCCTAGGTGATCTAAACGACAAGCCCCGCCTTCTTGTAGATATGTAAAAGAAGGATATGTATCTGAAACGTATATCATATCCTATGTAATGCGTTTCAGGTTAACAAAAATGTATTAGCGCCCTCTACTGGATTTGTCATCTTAAAACGTGCAACAAAATGTACCTAACTTTGTAACGACATAGTGTGTGACTCATTGTCCTCATTAACTCCACAACAAATACATCAAATAATCATTGGGACAGTTCTTACTGTGGTATTTCTCACAAACATTACATGAGATCTGCTTCTTTCATGTCTGTCTGTTATCTGAAGCAGTCGAGGGTGGAAATAGAGGCACACTCTCACAGGCGCGTGGAAACGGTGGGAGGGGAGGACTAGCATTTTGTGGACAAGCACAGTCCACAAAAACAGCTGTAAGATGCTTAGAGCTAAAAATTACAAAACTTCTGAAAGGTATAATAAATAATCTGATGAGTGTTTTGAGCTGAAACTTTACAGACGCATTCTGGAGACACAAAAGACTCATATTAAATCTGGAAAAAGGGGAAAAATTGGTGCCCTTTAAAACAAGTAAGGGAGTAAATAGTGGGTGCGTTTTCGTTTTTGGATAACTGCCCCTTTAACTAGCCTATTTAACTAAAAATAAACAGATATTTCCTTTCATAAGCTGAATTACAGTGGGCGGAGCTAAACAGCAAGTGAGTTTATGGAGGTGGAGTTCAGACACACTGTTACACAATAAAGAGGCTCATTCCACAGCCTGCAGTTGGAGGATTGGCTTCAGTATAAGCTGCTTTTACACTAACAGGAAAGTTTTGAGTTCTGAAGCTTACAGGATGTTTGTGTAGTACAATGACCTTTTATGTGTTAAAAGATCAAGGGAATTTAAATTTCTCGGTTCATGACCACTTTAAACTTTTCTACATCAAAGGTTGTCAGAGCAGAGATCAACACCCATGAATCCCAAGCTAGCAACTTAATTAATGGATAGGTTTTATAGTGGGTTTTGTATGGAGCTTAAAAAGTGAATCCTGACCACTCTTTGAAAGTTCTGAAGGAGTCAGAGGAGTGAAGATGTCAAGCTTCAAAGGAACCAGAAATGTATCATAAAATTAGTTCATATGATCATTGCAATCAATGTCACATTGTTTACATTAATTAAGTTAATATTTAATATTCTGCAAGGAACTTATCAAATAGCAATTTAACTTAATTAGGGGCCAAACACCGAATGTGCGTAGGCACCTATTGTATCAATTCTGGTTCTTATTATTCTTCCTCTTTTTCTTCTTCCGCCATTTTGATTTTGCTCAAACCATTTTTTTAAACTCCTCCTAAACCACTGGCCATTTTTCATTTAGCACATGCGCAAACTTGATGTAATGCTACTAGGTGACATTACAGGCTGAATCACTGCAATGGTTTGAAATACTGACAGAGATGGCAAAAGTACACAAATCCTTTACTCAAGTAGAAGTACAGATACTTATGTTTAAAATGACTCTGGTAGAAGTTGAAGTACTGACTACATTTTTGTACTCAAGTAAAAGTAAAGAAGTGGGGCCTGAAATAAGTAAGAAAGTAATTAAGTAAAAAGTATTCATTACTATACCTGTTTTAGTTTCACAGTAACTACATTGCACATCATGTATACATCTGTACATGATAACTTACATCTTTAATTCGTTTGTAAATCTAAAACGTAATTCTTCTGCCTATACTGTATTTATTACTAATAAATGTCTTAAATTTAACACATCATTTTGTCCAAAACATATTTGAGTTTTTTCTTCTTTTGATAAAAAAAACAATGTATTTGTCCACAAATAATTGTTTGCATTATGCTAAAGCTGCTTCATTGTCTTCAAACAGCACTCTCTTGCAGCTCATATGATTTGTTTGTTTGTTTTCAGAGTACTGTGTATATTTTATTAAACAGATAAAGTTATTAATGCTGTTGCTACATTTTTGTACCATCTTTTTTCTTTTTTTCACATGATAAATTCCTGATCCTTTGCATTACATTTTTATTCATAAATCACCCAGTATAAATAGTCTTAAATGTTCTAAAATATTTATCTAACAATCTATCCAACAAATTTAAATAAAGACAACAGTGTATATAATATACATGTTAAAACTATAAAACAGTATATATTCTGTACTAGGAAATATGAACTCGTAGGAAGGAAAGGAAACCTCATTGCATAACGTGTTCATAGGTATTGAATTGCTTTAGTACTAACTGTACAAACGTTAACAAAAAGCACATTGATATTTTTTTCCCCGCAGTAGTAGATCGAGAGATCAGTGAAGGACCGTGCAACATCGTCTGAAGTGGACAAAAGACTTAACCCCATTTAAATGCCAGATTTGCACAGAAATGCATCTCTTGTTTTACCTGTAATCCGATCGACCAAAACGCATCTTGTTACCCGGCATAAACATGACAATAATCGCGGACTCCCTCTGTCTTATCTATGTTAGCCATTCCCATGGTAAGCTTAATAAGCAAGACTATTTACGGTGCACGATCAGAGGTTAAAATAGCCGCGCAATGACAAAGAGTAGATTGACTAACTCAATAAGGCGTTCAAATTGTGCAATGAAAAGAAATAACATTGCGCCACAAAACAAATGAAAACGAAAGTAACAAGCCCAATTCAAATATGTAAGAAGTAGAAAGTGCAAGTATTTGTGTACAAATGGAAGGAGTTAAAGTAAAAAGTTTTCAGAAAAACATGTAGTGAAGTAAAGTATACCAGAAAAATCTACTTAACGAAGTATTTGCGCTTCATTACTTCCCATCTCAGAGTAATAAAACCAAACTGAAAGTGTGTGATCTAGAACTGACATTGACCAAACTACATCAGTTTGCACCACCTTCAGGGTAATATTGGCAAACAATTAAATTCTATCGATAGAAACCATAAAAAAATCATCAAATCACTTTTGAATAGTTTTGTCTATTGTCATGAGACTGGTCTTGCAGATTCCTTGGATCATACAGAGAACATTGATATAATTTATTCCCTAATTGACAAGACTTCCTGTCCACCATCTTGAATTATTTTGAAAATATGTTGCTTTGAACTCACCATAGATCAGGTGTAGGCAAACTTGATCCTGGAGGGCCAGTGTCCTGCATAGTTTAGCTCCAACCCTATTCAAACATACCTCCCAATAGAGTTCAAGTGATCTTGAAGACACTGATTAGTTTGTTCAGGTGCGTTTGACTAGTGTTGGAACAAAACTCTGTAGGGACACCGGCCCTCGAGGATCAAGTTTGCCCATCCCTGCCATAGATCATTAGCCCAATTTCCATTAAATATGGCTCAAAACATGTTGCCAAAACATGATAGAATTTTCCAGTTGCTCTGTAGCTTGTTGCCGTGCTTGTTTATGATGTGGCCGCTGGGCTGCTTGTCCCCGATAATTGCTGCTTGCAGCTACAATTTCTGACTGCACCTGAATAATGATGGCAGTGTTGTGTTGCTCTGCATTTGCCTAATTTTTAATGTTTAGATTATTAATTACATTGTTTACTTGTTTAATATGTTAGACCTGTAGATTTATCATGCACAGTGGTCGTGTATGAATCTGCTTTATTCTTTAGTCTTTTTGACTATTATTACAATTTATGTGTTACAAACATTGATTTAGAAGAGCTGAATTAAAAAATAAAGAGAGATAATAGTTTATAGTTCATATAAACCGTTATTAGTCCCGATCAAAAAACTAAATTAAACTTCTGATCAAATTTTTGTGCTTTACAAGGAGAGTGAACTAAACCTCATCATCCATACTACACACATTTTCATTCACACACACACATGCGCACGCATAGAGAGCTGAATTGCCGTGTTGGTCTCTGATGACTCATCTATCTTGTGCTCTGGCACTCCTGTGAGAGCTGGAGCGGACAGGGGGAAGATTACAGCAGCCGGCTGCAACTAAAATGTCAGAGCGATCTCCATGGCATAGAGTGAAGTCCTGAGCGCAGCATATTCACTCCTGCTTGCTCTTCTCACAAACCCAGAGCTTGTGTTCCTGCTTATTCTCCCGTCTGAATAGCCCCGTCTGTTCTGCTGCTCTGACCTCTCCTTAGCAGAGCCACAGAGGGGCCTCGTCCCCTCCAATGTCCCCATCAACAATGCCACTCTGTTCTTATCCAGAACCAGGAGGATCACCGCCTTTTGTCTCCTTTATTGCATGTTGTCCTTGTCTTTGCTACTAGTATTATGTCTCTATGACATGAGGTGAATTACTGTCCTTTCTCCTGCTTTAAGATGATTAATTTCTAAACATGTCTGTGATTTCAGTTTTTTTTCACATGGTCTTTTGCATATAGGGATTTAAATGGTCAATTCATCCTAAAATGTCAGTTCTGTTATCATCTACTCATGTCATTTCAAGCTTCAAAATTCATCTTTGGTAAGCAAAAATAGATTTTTTTTATTAAAATCTAAGGGACTTTTGTCCCTCTACTGAAAGACTGTGCATAAAAAATTCTGAGGCTTTAAAACGTCCTTAAAATTGTTGTTGATTTAGGACTTTATTTACATGTAAACATGGACAGAATTTCAACCACACCTGCTTTACATGTGAAAACAATCAGTGTATCTTTCATCCTTTTCGTATCCCTTTTCAAAAAAAAAAAAAAACTTAGAAAACTTTTTTTTTTTTTTTTACTCAGAATTTTTTTTTTGATTTTTGCTTGATTTTTTATTTTTTTTTGGTTTAGGGTGGGATAACGAATAAAAATGGAAAAAAAAAAACTACATAAAATAAAAAAAAATAAAAACAAAAGTACTCTTTGTTATAGCCCCAGCACCCAATGTCTTCTGGTCCTGCAAACATTATAAAAAAAAAACTATTAAAATATAAAAAAAACTAAACAATAAAAAACACAAAGTAAACAATATTTATTATTATTATTATTATTATTATTATTATTATTATTATTATTATTATTGGGCATTGCTCGGAAGCAATCATGCAAACCAGGTTCTGCTCGGAAATGGCTATCTTTGCTCAGCATCAGGGGCACAGCAGCTAGACATTTGACAGCAAACTATGACCGTATTTAATGACAAATGTGTAATAATACTGCTAATTTACATTTTTATTTAATTTATGCATACGCAATCAATGTAAGCCTGCTAACGGATCAAATGATAGAATATGTAAACTTAGTCTACAATAGTAATAATTCAAAGCCTGGGTGCTGATTAGCAAAGCACTATTATTTTGAGGGCGACGTCACGAGCTCAGATTTAGTTGACTAATCAGAGGAAAAGGGGCGTTTCAGCACCGCCTACATGTTTATAATAAATTTTAAAGTCGTTTATCCGTTTTCCTGTCCTAAAGTTAAAAAAACACGAGACAAAATCTCGTTTTTTTCTTACATTTTTTGTGAGCAAAAGAACGTCCATTTTCTTAGTTTTCCTTTTTTTTTTTCTTTTTTTTTTTGAAAATGGATATGGAATAGATGGAGATTACCCTGATTGTGGACTAACATCAAATTTTAGATCAAACAAACCATGTGACAAACAAGAACAAACCTTAATGGTTCTGGAGCATCTGTAACACTCCTGTAAGCAATTTTCACTGATTCATATTTAATAAAAACCTTAATTATTTTAATCTTTAAAAAAGCGATGTCTTATCAGAGGACTTTGATTAATCCATTCAATTTGAATGAACACTTTCATCATGGTCATTTTCATTTCATTTATTTTCCTTTAGGAATAAACTAATTAATTATAATTAAGTATAATAATTGATTATAATCAGGAAACAGGATGTGTATCTGAAACACAACCAAACATATCCTATGTAGTAAAAATGTAGACTGCAACCTCTAGTGAGTTGTCATCTTAAATGTGCAACAAAACGTACCAAGAGCAACATATTTTCGCAAAAATGTAGGCTTAGGCACGTATTTTCAATGAACCTTAGCTGTAGATTTGGGTGAAACGCGTTCCTTAGTAATGCGTTACTGTAATCTAATGACATTTTAGGGGAATGCAGTAATGTAATGCATTACATTTTGAGTTAGTGTAATTTGATTAAAGTTACTAAAGTCAATGTAATTGTGTTACTTACGTTACAAATACAGTTTTTAAAAGAAAAAATGCTTCTTTTAAATCACATTTTCTGCTGCAATGTCAGTTAATAAGCATGCGCTTTTAAATTGCTGGAGAACGTGAGCTGAAAGGGCTGCTGTCGAGAGTGATTGCTTTTTCACTTGGAAATACAGACAATACTTTAATTTCATTAAGTGTAAAAGCTAAAATATTGCTGTGAAATGCAGTCTGTCCAGTCTCTAAAGAACTTTTGACTGCTTTTAACTGCTTTTTGACTGCTTTTAAAGAAATTTGTTCATCCATTCATTGGTTCTGGAGCATCAAGCAAGTCTGCACAAGTTTCTCTAACTAAATCTAAATGCTTTAAACACTGTTCACTGATTCGTGCTTAATAAAAACCTTAATTCATTTCCTTAGTCAATTTAATTTACTTTATTTTCCTTTAGGAATAAACTTTAATCAATTATAATTTAGTATAATAATTGATTATAATCCAGTAAATCTTCTATGTTTCCAGGTGTGGGGGTGCCTCTTATGCTGACGTATGTCTATGGAGTGGTGCCCATGTCATTATGTCGTAATGGCTGGTGTAGGCCACAGTCAGAGCCTCCTGAAGTTCGAAACATACAGCTGGAAGACTTGGCCAACTGTAAGTCAAACCTCCTGAAGTTGAGCTATAAAATTATTCCTAACCAGTTTGCAGATTAAAAGATGCGCTGCTTTTAATTTAACTATTTTTAGTAGCTTTATTAGTTGTCCATTAGAAATAGTGAAAAATGATTTGCCATCGTTAATCTCGAGGTTCTTGTTTTTCTTCTTGGGAAATTTGGCTGAGAAAATAATGCAATCATGCAATAAAACCTGAAATATATTGTGGTAACATACAGTATGAATGTGAGCAATATACTTTTTCAGTGGTAGCATGTAATTGTTTGTATTTTTTGTATCTACCATAAACAGATTAAGTTTAGTTCTTCTACAAGTGATTAGTACAGCAAACAAAAGTGTCTGTTTATGGAACTTAGCTTGTTAGTAATTTGTGTAGCTATGAGCTATCAGTATACACTGTAAAAAAAAAAAAAAAAAGTAATTTTACGGTTTATTTCTGGCAGCTGGGGTGCAGAATCTCAAACAAAGATTGAATTACAGAAATTTAACAGAAATTTAAATCTAAGGAAATTTCTGTAATTTAATATCCGTTATTTTTACGGTAAATTTCTGTAATTTAATGGCCATTATTTTACAGTTATTTCCAGCACCCCAGCTGCCGGAAATACACAGTGTAGCTAACAAAAAATCTATAACTACCTTAACCTACCTTATTAAAAGCCTTTAATATAGCCAAGTATTCACTGTAAAAAGCTTCTAGTTAGTATAGTTTATGCTAGTGTAAGCTATAAACATTATTATTCACAGTAACTGGCTACTTTAATTTGTGTTACTAATCTAGAAGTGTTGTGGCTAATAAAAGTATCCACTGTTATCTGCTTGATAGTAATTTGTGTACACAAGCTAACTACTCTAAGAAAGAAACTGTTTATGTACTGTAGCTAACAATTCCCACAGTAAAGTGGTTTGTTAATATTAGCTAACTCCTAGCTAAGAGCTTAGCTAACTCTTAGCTTGTTAGTAATTTATGTACAGTATCTACTCTAATGGGAACTTTTGCTGTAGCTAGTAATATAATTCACTGTCTTAAAGCTATTTTGTATACCTTAGCTAATGACTGTAAATTAGAAACTTTTATGTAGCTAACAAATGTACCCACAGCTTGTTAGTATTTATTTTTAGCTAAATAAAAGCTAAGAGCTGTTAGCTAATGGAAGTGTCACTGCAAAGCATGTTAGTAAAGTCTGTAGCCTACAGTAACTTACAGTATAAGGTAAGAGCTTTTAATATAGCTAGTATTCACTTCTAGTTAGTATAGCTTACGCTAGTTTAAGCTAAACATTATTATTCACAGTAATTTACTACTTTATTTGTGTTACTAATCTAGAAGTGTTTACTGTGGCTAATAAAAGTATCCATTCACTGTGATTAGCTTGTTAATCATTTGTTAAGGTAGCTAAGATTTTACTGTTGTTAATGAAAGTATTCACCATGTGCACAAGCTAACTACTCTAAATCAAACTTTTTATGTAGCTAACAATTCCCACAGTAAAGTGGCTTGTTAGTATTGCTGTAGCTAATAATATCATTCACTGTCTTTAATGTCATGTGTTGCCTATACTTTAGCTAACGATTGTAAATTAGAAATGTTTATGGAGCTAAATGTACCCACATCTTGTTAGTATTTATTTTTAGTGAACTATAAGCTAAGAGTTGTTAGCTAATGGAAGTGTCACGCTAAAGCATGTTAGTAATTAGCCTAGCTAACTACCAAAAGCTATAGTTTGAAAAATAGAAGAACGGAAATATCTTTTCTACTTGTTGGTAATTTTTGAAGTTGCTTAGTTTTGATTATACATATGTTTAATTTAGCTTAGGAAGCTAGTTTCAAAGTTGCTTACCCAACACATTAACCATGACACTGTTTGCTTTGACACGATCCTGATTTATTATAAAGCTGTTGCACAGTTTTGAAAAATTAAGCTCTCAGTTTGGCCTGATCTGATGACATTTAAACTTCTCTTGAAGATCTTCTATTTTCTCATGTAGTCAGTGATCACTGGACCGGACAGAACAATCCAGCTCTGACCGATGCAAGCGTACAGGAAGTGAGTGTGAATGTGGAGGAAGTGATGGCGCTTCCCAGCCTCAGTGTTCTCCAGTCTGGAGCTGCAGGTTCCGCTGAAGCCTCTGATGATGGACATGTTGACAGCACGGAGCCGATAGCTCAGTCAGATGAAGTGGATGTTGTTGAGGAGTGTGCCTTCAGCAGCTCACAGACATTTGCTCTGAGGTCAGCATATTTAAACACATGGTTTGATTTTGCAGGCAGTTTTTCTTTTTTATTCAAATATGAATAAGCAATGAAGATGTTTTTTAAAATGGTTTTGCACACCCAGCCTGCATTTGTTTGATCAAAATATCACAGTATAATCAGTAATATGTTATAATATGATGTAACTTTTTTCCTAATTCAATAGATTTTAAAATGTAATTTATTCATGATTTGACAAAGATGAATCTTCAGAAGTACTCCAGTCATCAGTCTTACATGATCCTTAGTAAATCTATTCTGATATGTCGATTTGCGGCTAAATATTTGTTGTTTTGTTTCCTCGGAATTTGTTATCTAACATTTTTTTTACTTCATACTCCCCCCAAATTAAAAAAATAAATATATAAACTATTTATTGGAGTATGTTTTACCAGGAAACGCTATTTCATTTTCTTTAGATCAAATATCACACTTAAGTTTGTCAATTGTAGATTTCTGTACAATTAGATCATTTTATATAAAACACTTTTTTGGTAGCACTTTATTTTACAGTCCTGTATTACATGTACATAATGTCTACCTGTCAGAGTCATTGCATAATTCCATTCTGTCTTTATACCTGAAGCTAACCTTAACCCATGTAGTGACCTTCTATAATCCTGTACTTTCTTTGATAGGTAAACAGAACAGAAGTTAACAGAAGTTTCCAACACTGATATTAAAAAAACATTCTTGAGCTGCAAAGTATCTCGTTTCTGAAAGATCATGTTAAACTGTAGACTTGAGTAATGATGCTGAAAATGCAGCTTTGTTTTCACAGGAATATGGTATATTTTAAAAAAAATATTAAAAAACACTATTTTTTTTAAATATATAAATAAATCTGGGGGTCAATAATTGTCACAATCATTTAGATCCTTGTTTACTTCTCTCTCTTTCTTTATGTCAAAATGTACAATAATATTCTAAAATCTGTGATATTTGTAAATTTTTAAATAAAGTTGGGGAAAAAATAACAAAACACTTATTTTAAATTTTGATCAAATAAATGTAGTCTTGGCGTCACAGTGGCGCAGTGGGTAGCATGATCACCTCACAGCAAGGAGGTCGCTGATTTGAGCCTCGGCTGAATCAGTTGGCATTTCTGTCTGGAGTTTGCATGTTCTCCCCATGTTAGCATCCCTCTCAAGTCCAAAGACATGCAGTATAGGTGAATTGGGTAAACTAAATTGTCTGTAGTGTATGTTTGTGAATAAGTGTGTATGGGTGTTTCCCAGTGATAGGTTGCAGCTAGAAAGGTATCCGCTGTGTAAAACATACGCTGGATAAGTTCATTCCTCTGTGGCAACCCAAATTAATAAAGGGACTAAGCCAAAAAGAAAATGAATGAATGAAATGTAGTCTTTTATATAAAGACACCCTCTAGACCAGGGGTGTCCAAACTCGATCCTGGAGGGTCGGTATCCTGCAAAGTTTAGTTCCAACCCCAATCAGACACACCTGGGCTAGCTAATCAAGCTCTTACTAGGCTTTCTAGAAACATCCTTACAGGTAAGTTAAGGCAAGTTGGAGCCAAAATCTGCAGGACATAAGCCCTCCAGGACCGAGTTTGGACACCACTACTCTAGACTTTTGAATGCATGTGTGTGTATTTACATTCTTAGATATGTACACTAAGCATGTCGCCAGCCTGATTTCACCAAATAGGACATGTTAGGATCAACATAGATGTTAATCCTGGAACAACATTCCAATCAACCGATCAGAATTAAGGCATATGTTTACAGTTTATGTTTAGGCTTACGGTTAGGTTTAGCACTTTTACATAACTGTTATCCAACTACTATTCCCCTCTGGTTGGGGAATGATTTACAGTTATGGTTGGGTTGAGGGGTGGGGAATAGCTATGGATTATATTTTTGAACAAAAATTATGTTCAAGGATCAATGTTGATGTTAATCCAGGGTCACATCATGCTTGGCAAAATCATGATGTACCTGTGTATGTACTGTAAAATAAAATGCAACCACATTTTTTCCCTTCTGTTCGCTTTGTTTCCATCAGGGAAGGCACTAATATTGAGGTGCGAGTGGAGATTGAAGCTCAGCCGCGGGGCGCCCGGAAGCCGAGCCTCAGCAGTATTTTGTCTAGTAAGAGCTTGTCGGCAGAGTCTCTCAGCCAATCCCATGAACCTCTGTGTGCCTCCAAACAGACCGGCAGCACCGAACCCATCCCAGTTCCTGAGATCGACAGCGTCTGAGCAAAAAAAAAAAAAAACTGGAGAACCACTGCTTCCATGACCCACCTGGAGCTTCCAGCCGCAGAGACTCAGCAGCCTGAGGGCAGATGCCAAAACGCCATGCAGGAGATCAGAGAAACTTAAACGACCTAGCGCATGTTTGTCAACCAGTTTGAGGAGTGCTAACCAATTTTATACTGTAAACTCTATCGCCTATTTGGATGATGCTCTGGTTAATTTATTCGATTAGCTTTTTCTTTTAGCTGTACCCTTTGATCTCATGACCATATGGTTCACGTCCCTGAAAAAAGATGAAGTAATAAGCTATGGATTAATAGCATGGCTTCTTGATGTGCCATGTGACTAGCAACACGCAGGCTGAAGAGAAGTGTGCTGCAGGCTAAAGCTAACTTTGTTAATGGGCTTTTCCCTCATGGTATTCATTCATTCAAATTATGCAATTTTTTTACATAACCGTTGCGTTTTCATGAAGGAGCAGTACATTCTGTGGGATTTAGGTCTAGGATTAGCCTCCAGCGTCATGCTGTTTCTGTTACTGTATGTCCTGAATATGCTAATCTTAGGTCAGAGCTGGTGTAAACGCCATGAGGGCTATGATTTAGGCAAAACACTGCAGGTGAATAGGTACAAATTCATTCACAATACATTCAAAATCGCATTTTTTTTTTTGTATTACAAGTTTCCTAAAATGTGTTTAAATAAGGAAAGAAGGCATTATTTTGTTAAATAAGCACTAATTTGCATACATTTCTTGCCCAAAAATCTGAACATTGGATGAATTCTGGTTAAAAATGGCTTGTTTACTTTCTTTTGACATGTTATAGATGGAATCTTGAGTATTATTTTGTCACTCCAAAGTTCAGAAATTTATGCTTACCGCCAGGACTAAAGGTTGAATAAAATATTGTATATTATCAGTCAGATATGAACACATTTCTCAGCTTCTGAATTTAGCTTTGAATAACTCAGTGCATCTGAAATGCAAATTTGTCACTCCAAAAGCTGTGATTTTTGCCTGCAGTGTTTCGCCCTTAAAAATAATGATCTTGTTTCACTTTTAGATCTTTATTTCTGCAGTTCAAGCATTTGTTTTTCCTCAGTCGAGTCGAGAGTTTTAATAGCCCATTAGCTAAAGTGAGCACCTTTTCTCAAAGCAGTTCAGCTTGCTGAGTAATACATTGAACTAATACCTCAGAGCCAACAGATGTTTCAAGTCCAGACTATCTTTGCTGGCTTTTTTGACACTTGGCATCGAAGGAAGAACTCAGAAAGCTAGATCAGGCCTCTAATACAAACATTTAACCCCGTCCTGTTCAAAAAACAAATCCTGTTTAAAAGACTTCCAGGAGTTTCCAAAACTGACTCTTCAATGCTGCACTGCAGATTGGGAACAATGATTGGAACAGTGTGTCAATAAAACCATTTGTATTCAATGAGGAATGGGTTTTCTTTTTGCTTTTTTTTTTTCTTCGCATCATTTTGCATAACATATTACCTAACAATGAATCAATACATTTATCCTTCTTTTATTTCAACTAATTGTTATTACATAAAAGTGTCCACAGATTGATTCAGTTGTTCATGTGTTTGTGCATGTGTGTGTTGTTTTAATATATTACCTAAATTGTTTGTTTATAAGCCCAACTTTTTTAAAAATTAACCATATTGGCTACACAAAAAAAAATGGCTGGGTTTTGTTAAGCCGACACTGTGAAATACGGACAAACCCAATTAGGTTAAAAATTTCAATTTAACATTAATGTAAAAGAAAAAAACAACACTTAACGGTGGGTTTGACATATGAAGAGTTTGTATGCAAAAACCTCTAAATGCCTTTTGAAAACTAGCATTTCTTTTAACCTCCTATGTTTATGTAAATCATTTCCCTGTACAGACAATGATTTACAATGATGACATAGATATATACACTAGATATCGCATAAAGACCCTGAACATGCTTCATTAGGGCTGCCACATTTGTACAGTGTTCCCAGGACAATGTCATTCGACTGCACTAGTCAAGACTAAGCCAACGTGAAGATGCTGGACTTTTGCGCCGTGTACGGATGTAGAAGCAGACAAAGCACAGAGGCAGAACATTTTATGGGTAAGCTTTCGTTTTTTCCACTTTATTTGAACTTTTGTGCTAAGTCACGTTTTTGATGATGTCACTTACTGCACTGACCATGAGGCAAAGTAGCACCAACTTGCACTAAATACTAGGCTTATGCTAGTTTTGTTGAATAAAATAAGCAAACAAAGTAAATGAAATATGATAGCAAGATGCTGTAGTGCTGGAAACTTGTATTATTGTCGGCTAAGTAAACAAGTCGTTCATAACGGCAGTTCATTAATTCACCAACGAATCACTCCCTTTGTTAGAACGAGAAGTGTAAGCGGGAGAGGGTGTGTGTGTGTGTGCGTGTGCGTGTGTGTGTGTCAGGGTCAGGACACGCATTAGTTCAAATTTAACAGCGAGGGTGGATAGTACATTTCCATGCACACAAACACGCGCTCTTTGTCGGCAATGCCCATGCGGTCACTTATCCATCCATGTAGAAAAGTGATGTAAAATGATCATTTTCCTAAATAAAAAAAAATATTTTTTACTGACCCCCAGGGAAACTCGATCATAGATATTTATATATTTGTACTTGCGTATATCTGTGGCTCTGCATGGACAGTCCTCCACTTCACCTTGGTCCCACATTTCAAAGGAGCGCTCCTCTGTACTAAAATGGCAGCTCTGTTGACGCGTCCATTCTAATAGACAACAATAGCACAGGCAACATCTAGTGTAGATCTATGCATTGATGAAATACCCTATTCATCGACATAAAAGTAAATCTACTGAAACTACCCACAAGAGCCTGAGGAAAATGCTTATTTTAGAAGAAAAGTTTAGATGGCATTTAGAGGTATTCCATCTGAACTCTTCATAATTGACCCAACAAAGTGTAGAGTTGTCAACTTAAATTTAAAAAAAATATGTTTGTGCAAACTGAATGTCTTTTTAACCATGTCTAAACATTACTTTATATCACCTTAAAAATATTTTTTGCTCTTCCAACAATCGTTTTATAGTGTGTAAAAAAGAGTTGGGTAAAATGTATTATATTAAAATTTTAGGCACTCTGTTAAGAACTCTTTTGAAAAAGGCTGAACTTCTTGAAATATACTTTCAGATTACTTTTCCTAAAAAGTAACTAAGAAACAAATGTAGTTACTTTAAATTAAAGTGACTTAAAATTATAATTATAACATTTAGCTATAAGGTTTATATCAATATAGTTATAAAGTTTTTCACAGTATTACTTGTTTCCCAACACAGGTAAAAAAAAAAAAAAAACATGATATAAATGTTATTATAAGCTAAAATATGCACTCCAAAAATAACGTTTGTGGTTCATTCTAACTAGGCTTTTTTGTGAAAACCTAATATTTTTATGTTTGATCCCCTTAAATTTGCTAAAACTAATCATATAACTTAATTCCTTCATGTTGCCCTGACACAAATTGATTGTGTCGAACCCAGCCTTTTTTACCGTGTATCAATAATGGGTAAAAACCTTTAGTGGTTTGTGTCAAAGTTATCCTACATCCTTAAAATTACAATAATATTTTTGTGATAAGCTTTTGTGAAGCTTAAAAATAATATGCTTTACTTTTTTTGCTACACTGAAAAAAAGGTATGTCTGCAAAACTGTTGCAAACAATTTATATGTGTTGAATTTAAACAAATTAAAATTAAGTACTGTTCAACTTCATTTGTTTGTTTGAATTCAGCCCAAAAATTGTTTACAACCACATAAATTATAAAAAAATTTGTAAATCCTTGAAATCATATTTGAATCATTTTTTCAGTGTATATAAATATGTTTTGAGTGAAATAAACGATTGAGTGAATTGCATTTTATTGACTGTGCATTTAGAGGATGTACATAGTACATTTTCTGTTTATAATTGTATAAATGTATGATAATCATTATTTATTTGCTCAAAAAATCTTTGATGCACTTGAGATTCTTAAAACCCTATTTTCGCTTTTTTTTTGCCAGCATTTCTGTAGAACACGGGCTGCAGGCAGAGGGCGCTATAACTCCAAATAAAACAGAGTCCAATCAGAAATCCAAGCAATGTTGTAACTCTACAAAGGCTATTACTTAAAATTTTTCCAGGCTTTATAGCGTATTGTACTTACTAACTAAAGACATTTATTTTAGTTTGCAGTATTGCAAAACATTGCAGTATTTGTTTTTGGCAACTCATTGTGGACTTGTTTTTATAACCTTTTTATTTTCACTTTTGAAGCCAGACTTGCACTTACAGTTCACTAACTGTAGAAAACATTGTTAAAGCTACCTGAACCTGCTTTTATTGTTGTTTCAGGCTAATAGTTTTAATAAAAATCCATAATATCTATTTCACCATTTTTGCCAGGTGGACTGATAATATTCTGATTTAATTTGAAAAAGACCAGACAAATTAGTTTAGAAGGATTATAAGTGAAATACATCTAACAGTATTATAGTAGCACATTACACTGAAACAGTGTCCATAACTATAACTGAATAGATGTAACTGTAAAAGTTATTACAATACTTTGATAGGACATCGTATTGATCACAAAATTTCAGATGTGCAACATTACAGGACAAATTGCAATGTGTCATTATTTATTTAACAAACATAAAGCCAATATATAAAACAGCATGGGGGACAACTGAAGACACCCTATTCATTGCTTGTAGAGCTGCTGTAGATCCACTTTTCTCAGCAGCTACTGACTTTTCGTCTCTGTTGCATATTTTGTTGACTAAAAGTTGTATTGCAACAACATACCAATTACTTCTCATTTGAGTATTAGTAGACTGTCTGCTTAATATCTATTGATACTGCTCCTTCAACAGATTTAACTGACTAAAAAAAACTTTGCATGTCAATTTACACTAACCTTAACCATAACCCCAACCTAACAATCTGCTTATAATCTATTGAGACTTAGTTGTCATGCAGATGCAATGTAACTTAAAATCAACAAAATGTGTTAAAGGGACCATCAAAGTAATGTGATACCGAAATTTGACCCACTCTTTCTCAAAACACTACTCCAGTTTGAGGTTTGTGGGCATTTGTTTTTGCTCAACTTTTCAGTCAAGATGAGGTCTGGATTTTGAAGTTACTATTTAACTTCCAATTAGATTTACTGATGTGCTTGGGATCATTTTCTGTTGCTCACATTAGTTGTCGGATAGATGGCCTCACATTTAAATCTAAATAACTTTAGTACAAAAAAGAACTTATGGTCAACTCAATGGCTGTGGAATGCCCAACTGCCCATATCCTGTGGCAATAAAGGAAGCCCAAAATCCTCAACCCTCTACCAACAGTCTTGCAATATGAGGTGTTTGTGTTCATACTCTTTTGGCTTCCAGCCAATGTGGAGCTGTGCCTTATGAACAAACATGTTTGACCTTGTTTGTTCAAAGAGTACTGTTCTAGAAGTCTTTCTTCTGGCAACTCTTCCCAACTTGTCAGAAACTTTTTTCTTATTTCTAAGGTTGTCTGGCATTTCAGTTTGACCTTGGGATAAATTTGCTGGGAGTCCACTCCTGGAAATGTTGATGTTGGTTTCAAATGTCTTCCTCTGTTGAATACTTGCTGTATTAGGCCTCCCAGATTGATGGCGACAACACTTGATTCTCTACGATTATGAGCAATGCCTTTCCTCCTTAACACACACCTGAATGTTCCAAACTAACAAACTTGATAAACATGTATAGAGGTTCTTTTACTTGCTGATGAACATGTTTTAAAAGTTATTAGTGCTTAGCAGCTAGTTATCCTGATAATTCTTATTTTATAGGGTGTCCCAAATTTGACACAAATAGCTTTTCTATTTTGGCTTTGTCTTGTTAGCCTGTAAAAACACCAGGAGCAGGATAAGGCAGTTTTAGTGTTAGTGTATTGTCAGTGCAGGCTTGATGTTAAGCTGCACAGTTCTAAATTTAACAAGCGTGAAGAAGTTGACAATCCTTAATTGACTAATCAAAATCTTCAATAGAGAGAAGAAACATTTCCAAAACACAGGGTATGGAGGGAAGATTAAATATCCAAGATAAGGAGATTGACACAAATGATGATCAAACAAGGTCTAAACAAGGGGGCGTGGTAAATAAAAAGACAGGATGAACAGGGTACCTAGAAAATGAAGAAGAAACAAAAACACATAATAAGTTAGTGGAGTGACAGTCCACTCACCCTCTGGAAAGACACAATATAAGGCTAAAACATATGAGGTCTAAATGAGGACAGAGAGAGGGGGTTCTGGAAAAGGACGAGGAGCAGTAGAAGAGTGAGCAAACTGGAAAGGATCAGGTGAAGATGAAGGAAGGAGCCAAGCTGGAGCAGATGGTTGGTGGAGACTGGGAGGTGACTAGAGAAACCAGGAACAGGATGGACCAGACAAAGTAAACCCTAGGCAGAGATTGTCACCCCTTTCCACTAGCATGAACTGTGTGCTACTGTAGTTCTGAGCTAGTGCTGTTGCTGGTTTAGAGTTGGTTTACTTTGAAAAGAACCACTCTGCTTTGGACTACTACTTATTATGTACAACAGAGCCGCTGCAAAGCCAGGTCCAATGTCACTATACATTTCATCCTACCCAGCAATGCAAAAGCATCAAATACAAACACAGCATCAAAGTACATGGCTATTAATGTTATTGGCTTTGTACATTTGCATCAGCAACCAAACAAAATCTTTTGATATTTCAAAAATGACACTCCAAACTGGTTCTTTTTTGTTGTCATAGCAACCCTGACCTCAGCCACTGATGCAAGTGGTTCTTTTAGACCAGTGATATTTGGTGCTCATTAAGAACCACTTTTGCTGGTTCAGAGCCGATGCTTTGGGTGTCAATAGACAAAGGATAAATTTGGAACTAGGTTCTGGCTCCAAACCAGCACTTGAACTGCCTTAGTAGAAAATGGATATGTGACAAGACAGGAGGAACCAGGCAAAACCTAAACCACAGCCAGAATCACGGTGGAGCAGATGTAAGAGTAACCCAGGCTAAAGACAGAGAACCAACGAGTCAGGGCAACATTGAAGGTCCCAAGGGCCAAGGCTGAGTTGATGGCTCTGACGATTGAGGCAGAGTCTAGGATCTGGAAGACTGTGCTGGAGCTGGAGCGACAGATGACCAAGGTGGAGCTGGAGGGAATGAGGAGCTCAATGGAGCCAGAAGAATTGAGGGACAAGCACAGACAGAGGAGTGGAGTCCCAAGGAGGATCCAGGGTGATGACTGACAAAGGCAGAGTTGGAGGGACAAAGGAGTTGGTAGGATGACTGGCAACTGACACATGCCACTGGTGAGTGGAAGTCTGTTGTAAAATTTCACCACAAGATTGAGAGGGCTGAGCTGAGGGAATTGAAGGGACCGGCAAAGTCAGAGATAGATGATTGGCTGATGAAAGAGGAGGTAAGAGAAAGGTTGGGTGGAGACTCTACTGCTGAACAGGGCCAGTAAGGACTGGAGAAGCCAATAATCTCTCTCAGAATAACCTATTATTACAGAAAAGTTCCCAGTGTCCAGTTGTAGCTCACCCTCAGTGGTAAGAGTGGGGGTAGGGCTCCCAATCTTGCCCTTGTACTCCAATAGCACTCACAAATTTATTTTAGGTGATGTCAAGGCTACGACACCTGGTCCGACATCGCTTTACTCTCTGGCTCTGAGGCTTCGAGGCAATTTTCAGCTCTGTTTCTCCAGGACACAATGGTTCATTCTTTGTTGCAGGCTCTGGTTCTCTGTCTGGGGTGGGTATGGCTCCATGCAATGGGGTGATGGTTGGCTCATCTTGGCTGAGTTCTGGGGCTAGAATGGGGCTCATGAATTCCTCCTCAGTAGGGCAGGCGGAGAAAATTGAACCATTATTCAATAGGACCAACTCTACAAATAAGTGATTCCCAGGAGGACCTTCTGTGGGCAGCTTACACCTGGCAGCAATATTGAGTCCCACTTTGTAGAATGTGCACAGGCAGACTTATGGGAAATATGTATGGGACACAATAAAAGAAGCAAATGAGCTTGGGAAGCCGCAGGTAGTAGCTTAACTGGTCACATTGCATAAGTCTAACAATAGAAAAAAGAAAAACATTCAAAGCACCCAATTGGAATGTTATCACTCAATTAAATGGGCGTTATCAGCTGATAATTATGGGCCAGTAGGGGCCTTCTGTGACTTGTAGGCTCAGAAGCCTGTTATCATCCATCCACATAAATCATCAATACTAATAGAGATGACTCCAGATCTTCTTTTACATTACTGTAATGGTTAGGTTTAGGGTTGGGTTAGGGGTCGACATTAATAAAATACAATTAATGGGAAATTTAATGAATAATATCAATAATTCTTGTTAACTTTTGGCCACAGTTGTATGTGATCTATAGTTGATTAAGCATGTGGATGGATGATTACTGCCTTCTGAGCCTACTAGTAGGCACAGAAGGCCCCTACTGGCCCATATCTATCAGCTGATAACAACTGATAAAACCCATTCAATTGAGTGATAACATTTGAATCAAGCGAACGAAACAAAATCTGTTAGGGAGGGAGAATAAATATGAGAGCTAAAAACATGATTCAAATGAGTCAAAAAGAGGTAGCAATGATGAGAACCAAACAAGGGCTAAACAAGTGAACATGGTAAACAAAAACAATAATTAATCTGTAGTGTGATGCTTCATGTCAGTGGGGGAAAATAATATAGACTAAACAATACTTACAGCTAGTACACTAAAAGTTGTTAACTTTTCATTGTTAGTTTTTGTTTACATTGGTAACAAACCACCATTCACTAAATAACCCGAATGAATAATGAGACTCTAATTTCTTCATTCATTGATAGTCATGAAGTGAATCTGTCATTGAAGGGTTAATGTTATTTATACAGATCCAGGACGGCGTGAGTGTCTACTCTCGTGTCTCTCAGTCAGCGAAGGGTTAATATTAGGTTTACTGTACGTATCCGGGACTGTGTCTATAGGCTGCGCCTCTCTCTCAGTCAATGAAGGGTTAATGTTACTGTACAGATCCAGGACTGTCTATAGGCTGCTCGTGTCCACTCGCTCGGTTACTCGCCGCATGCTACTCTACTTTCCTCATTCCCTCAGCGGGCACCAGAGAAGAGCGCGGCACCTGCTCTGCGGTCTCTTTCCAGCATGGATGCGCTGAAATCCGCCGGGAGAGCAATAATAAAAAGTCCAGGAGTTCCGCGGCACACATGGGGAACGTCCAAGCATGAAAGTGAGTGGCGTTTATCTCTGTTTACATTCACAGGTCTCCATCTACACCGCTGTTCACGCGATACCAGTGCTGCTTTCTTTTACTCAAGTAGACTAACTATATGAATTTGTCTTCTGGCGTTAAAAATTAATATTTTGATAATGGCAGTGCTGCTGTAATTTCATTTGGCTTCTATAAATTGATTAATTGTATACAGTTATTAAAATGGTCATGCAATGGGTTTGTTAATTTTATTTTATTTTTCGCCTAACAACGCAAGTAAATGAATAAATAAATATATAAATAATTAATCTGACTTATATTTAAACTTTTCAAGGCAAGATATATATAGGAAACAAAATCATAAAATTAGGACTTGTTTTAAAGTTTATGCTTTAATTATACTGTCCTATTCATTATTAATATATACTTAGCAAATATAAAAATATATATATATTTCACATGATTTACAGAAAATGTTAATTAAAATTTCATTGTCTATCAATATTTTTATAGCAAAAATATTGTAAAATAGTTTTATAACGAATCATTAGATGCAACAGTGTAGACTATGTAAGTAGTGCAGCACTAAAATATTAATTAGTTTAATTATTCATTCTTTGCAACTGTTCTAAATCTAAATGTATATTAAAATGCAATATTATTCATAATACATTGTAAAAAAGTAATAAGTCATGATATATATATATATATATATATATATATATATATATATATATATATATATATATATATATATATATATATATATATATATATATATATATATTAGGGTTGCACTGTTTACTGGTATTATGGTGGTATTGCGATACTATAGCTCCAAAATACTGGCGGTGCCACTGTAGTTTGTACATGGTAGTATCGTAATTAATGGTTTATCTACAATATATAATATTGCATGTGGAAAAGTCACTAGAATGCTCACACAATTGTGCAACAATAGACCATTTTATTTGAATAGTCTGTGGAGCCCTTTAAAGTTGCAAAACTAAATTCGCACCTCTCATGGTAGCCAATTGCACGTTTTCTAATGCTTCAGTTCAAACACACATCTAAATAATTTCTGTTTCTGTTAATATGATTTAGTAGCTACAACAACCACAACAATCTCTTTAGAATAACTGAATTTTGAATTACGTGATTATGAAAAACCCAAAACAACAACAGTTATCAAAACATTGAAACAGTTTTTGACCACTTCATAAAGCCTAATTTGTTGGAAAAAATGCTCTTTTGTAACAAATTTAATTGTATCATTATTTTAATGCATTTTTGTTGGTCGGTTATCTACAAAATAAAAAAATAATAATAATAAACAAATTTTAGGTGAAGTGAGGTGTAAATAATTCTTTTTGGCCTATATAAATACAGTTGAATTCAGAATTATTATTACCCCTTTGAATTTTTTTCTTTTAAATATTTCCCAAATGATGTTTAACAGAGCAAGGAAATTTTTACAGTATGTTTGATAATATTTTTTCTTCTGGAGAAAGTCTTATTTGTTTTATTTCAGCTAGAATAAAAGCAGGTTTTAATTTTATATATAAAAAAAATTAAGGTCAAAATTACTAGCCCCTTTAAGCCATATATTTTTCAATAGTGTACAGTCTACAGAACAAACCATCGTTATACAATAATGCCTAGTTAACCTAATAAACCTAGTTAAGACTTTAAATGTCACTTTAAGCTGTATAGAAGTGTCCTGAAATAAAATATCTAGTAAAATATTATTTACTGTCATCATGGTAAAGATAATAAATCAGTTATTAGAAATGAGTTATTAAAACTATTATGTTTAGAAATGTGTTGAAGAAATCTACTATCCGTTAAACAGAAATTGGGGAAAAAATAAACAGGGGGGGCTAATAATTCTGACTTCAACTGTATATATACATATTTGTGCTGTTAAACAAGACAACAATACTGTAGGATCAAAAGTTTTTTCCAAAACTCAGGAAGATTCATTTTCTGAGATGTTAATGTTCTTGCAGCAAGAGAACAATACAGAAGAAACACAAGAGGTTCCATTCTGGTTGCTCAAAGGGCAGTTCTTCAAGGCCAGTTTATATACAGGCATAAAAACAGATGATGCATTGTTTTTAATCATTATTCTAAACAGTTTGTATGGTAGAATCCTATTAATCATATAATCAAATCATTGTCAGCACAATATTCCTGCAACTGGCACATTTCAACCGTTTGACTGACTGAAAACCACAGTTGAGCATGTGATTATGTCAAGAAGCACATACATTTATAAAATTGACTTTGGGTTTCTTTAAACGTATACATATATAAAAAATAATATAAATAGAATAAATAAAAATTAATTAAATTACTTTATCAAACAAATACTGAACTCTTTTTGTTTTTTTGTACAACAGAGAAAAAACAACTGTTTGTGCAACAGTATTGTAGAAACAGTTTTCCCACAGTTTCCTGCCATGTGTAAAAGATACTCCAATTAGATGGAATCTATGTATCCGATGAAGGGTTCGAGGTTGACTGGCTTTCTGAAATGTGTTGAATCTTGGTCAGGCACAGAGAGACAGCTGGTCGCACTGTACAAATAACATCACAGTGCCAACTTTCACACTTCAACCGTTTATGCTTTAATGATTGAATGAGCTGGCCGCTCATGTCAACTTTTGTTCTGTCTGCACGCGGAATGCAGTGTGTCTGTGTGGAAAAGAGGCCAGTGGTTTTATGAGACATCAGTGGTGACAGCAGGGGCCCGAGGCTGGACGCGCTGCTGTCATTCTGACGCGTCGGATGTGAAGTTCATGAGGCTCTCTGGGGACAAAACATCCCCATTCCCACTTGAACTGGGAGCCAGGCAAATGGCTGGAGGAATAGCCGGCTCTCTCTTGATGCTGAGAGAATGTATATTTATTGAAAGCCAAGAAAATTTGCATAATGAATTATTAAAATCAACAGTTGTGTCTTGGGATTTTAGATATGCTCTCTGTGGATTAATTTTTAATGATCTGATTTGTTACGGCTGTCTGTCTTTCTAGAAATGCATTGTATTTTTTAATACCGGCTGTAAAAAAGGCTTAAGATGCATTTTGGTTGTTTCTTAAGTGGGGCTGTGCGATTTAAGGAAAATATCTAATTGTGATTTCTTTGACAGATATTGATTTAATTCTGTATTCGATTTAATTCTGTAGTCAAGCTTCAGCTCAATAATCTGTATCGTTGTGTTGGTTAAAAAAAGTAACTGAAAATTATTAACTAACTTAAACATTCATTCAAATTTGTTTTAAATATTTAGAAATGAAACACAAATTTTCTCACATTAGAGAGATAGTGTAGCTGTAACGACGTTGAGTAACACCACAACAGAAGGTAAGATCCAATATGCAGGTTTATTCAATGTCAGGCAAGCAGTGGTCATCAGGTGCAAACGGGTATCTATAGACAGTCCAGAATCATAAACGATAAACAGGCAAAAGGTCGAAAGGCAGGCGGCTAAACTAGAGAACAAGGGTGACAAGGCTTAGGTCTAACACGGAGAAAACAAGACAGGGAAACGCGTTGTGAGGTCACAAAGATGCAAACAAGACTCGGCCAACTGGAAGGGTGAAAGAGTGGCTTATGAATGGTGTGATATCAGTCTGTGACAAGGTTCAGCTGGTGATTGCAATCAGGATAGATGAATGAACAGGCGTGCGTGTTTGGGAGCAGTGCATGTATGAAAATGTAGTCCTGGGAAATGCGGAAATGTAGTTTTGAGAGTTCGTGTGAGAACCAGCGATCTCTGTAAAGCGATCGCTGGTTGTGTGACAGTAGCTTATTAAAAAACAACAAACAAATAATTATAAAAATACAAAACATTAAGCAAACTAAAATGGCTGAAACTTTGCTGTTGCTTGTTACTAGATTGAGTGTCACTGGCAATACTTTCATTTGACTTTTAAGCAAGACATTCTTCATATATCCACCTTTTATAGGTGCTAGGTGTTGTATTTTCTTTGAGAGCTCTTACAAGTTTTAGCTCTTTCAGTGTCTGTGACTTTAAACCCAAATTATTCTCCTATTACAGATGTAGTAGATGTTCATAGATATTAATTCATCTATTAATGCTTCTGAAGCGGTAAACACCGTCATCCCACTCTATCCTGTTTGTTTTTTATTGTGGCCATTCCTCATAGTTCAGTTGCGCAATTTTGATTGGGCAGAATGAAAGTGCGCTTACTCAATTGGCTAGTAAGACTCACACACAGATGGCCGTGATTAGCTAATTGTAACGTTTGTGATTGTGATTCGATTTCGATTAATCGCACAACCTGAGTTGCTGTTTTTACTTGTAAAAACATATTTTTTTTATTTACTTTTTAATTATTAACACTGAGCTGTACCCAACTGTTTTTATGTTTTGAAGAGTCATGTGACATTGAAGACAGGAGTAGTGATGCTGAGAGTTAGCTTTGTCATCGCTATAATAAATCTTATTTGAAAACATAAAAATTGGGAATTTTACATGACAATATTGTTTCACAATAAGGCCCATCTCATTTGAAATACATGCCTCAGCCTGACAAAATGGTGGATGTAGTATGTCCGAGTTTCGATTATACGGTTCACATTCATACTTTTTTTTAGCAGTTGAATAGTATATTTAAATTCATATGCAGTACCTACTGAGTAGTAGGTGATTTCATAGTTGGTGTCCAAAGTCGGTCCTGCAGGGCCGGTGTTCTGCTGAGTTTAGCTCCAACACACCTGCCAGGGCGTTTGTAGTATATCTAGTAAGCGCTTGATTAGCTGGTTCAGGTGAGTATGATTAGGGTTGGAGCTAAACTCTCCAGGACACAAGGCCCTCCAGGACTGAGTGTAGACACCCCTGGTATAGAACATGCTTTTCTAACAGTCGAGTAGTACGTTTTAAATTCAATTGCAGTGCCTGAGTAATAGGCGATTTTGTACACATACATTTGTACATTTTAGATACATGTCAATGTGATGAGCAATCTAACCATTGCAGTCAGATATACTGT